CCCACTCTGACTAACAAGTATTCCCAAACATTATAAAATTCTTTCCAAACACTAGCTAATTTAGCCTCAGAATGTCTTCATAAAATAGAGAAATGTTGTTTTATTAGGTACCACCTACACATGTATATAAGAAGGCCAATTTTTAATAACGTTTAAGGGCTAAACGTGTAAAAATATTCAACATCTAAATCCTATTTAATTTCCTAAATAAGAACTAAGAGTTCTTTTTGTAGAGTTTTTAGACCCTTGGCAAACTGCCTAAAAGCACTGCTAGATGCCCCATGAGATTTTCCAAAGTGACTGAGCACATAATTCTCCATGAAATTAACAGTGAGGTCCTGACTCCCACGCTCTTATTCTAAGCAATATAGGTCTAAAAAAAGTTAGCACTCTAATTTTTACAGCTCTGCTAAATACTGTTGAAATTATATCATTTGTTTACTTAGGGAGAAACAACTGGAAAGCCGTGACAGACTGAAAACTGGGAGCACAATGAATCAGATCTGGCTTCACATACTGAACCCAACAGATACAGATAAGGGAAAATACACCCTGGAGTTATTTGACGGGAACAAGTCTCACAAACTGTCAACTGACTTGTCTGGACAAGGTAAGCTGAGTCAAACGATACCATCATAGGAGTGAGACACACCCGAGCTGCTTTCCAAGATTCATTCGAATCATGGGCAGTGATTACTCTCTGCCTTATTTGAGCTGGAGCCGCAGTTCCATGAGAGCACACTCTGAAATTGGGTTCAGGACAATGAAATGCCCATAGAAGTCAGGGGAAACACAGGAGAGAAGTACTTGGCAGAAAGGACTGAAGTGTTTAGGAAGCCTTGCTGCTCCTGAAATCTGAAATAGTGTAAGGCACTCCTGGGGAAAGGATGAGTGGGAGGGCAGCTGCCTCTAGGATGTGTCCGATTCCTCCACAGACCAACAGAGTTTACAGGTGGCATCTTTGAAAAGAGAATGTGGCTTCAGGTTTACAAAGACTTTACCCAACTGTTCAAAGCTGGGGGGAGGGGTACCCTCCTCTGGACTTCTCTTTGTAAAAGGAGTACGAGATCCCACTTATTTCAGTAGTATAAAATAAAGTCATATTTCCTTAAAGCAGATATAGATACTGTCTAGATGATAACTATACATATCTATGGGCACAAATACCTGTAATTCCAACATGGATGCATTATGTTAAATCTACTAAGTCAAATTAAATAAACAGCAACGTTTCCTAAAACCTTTTCATTCCTTGCAGCTTTTGAAGATGCCCTGGCTGAGCACAGAAGGTTAAAGTAAGTTCTGCCTAAATATTTTCACAGCTAAGTCTATTTTGAGCGTCATATTCTGTATTGAGAATACAATGCCTAATAAATAAAACAACTATAATTCTATCTCTCTCACTTGCAGGGAAGCAGCAATAGCAGAAAAGTGTGAGTAAATTAATTTCCTTCCTTCTGTGAAGCAAAGCCTAGTGGGACACTGGCACATAAAACTAAAAGGTCATATTTGTTCATTCCCAGGTCGCGCCAGAGTTGTCCAAGGTCTGCCAGATGTTGCCACCATCATGGAGGACAAGGTAATATTGAGTAACTGTTGGTATAATTGGCTCTTGCACAGACATAGAAGAATAACTGATGGGGAGAAAACTACTTGTTTTCCCCTCCTGTATGTTCCCAGCAGCTTTTCTGAGCTACTGCAGTGCCAAAGGTGTAAAGTGGTACCCTCGGTAATACTTGTATCCGCCCCCTTCATTGTTGATGGTTCTTCCAAACACACGTGTGCTTCTGCACATATAGGTGCTCTTTGTGGCACAGAACCTCTTTCTTGCAGGTTTTGGATGTTACTGCTTCCTGGGTCTGTTTCACAGCCAGATCCTTTCTGTTGTCTTCCCATTTTATAGGCTTAGACTAAGGCCTTTAAGTGCTGGACATGATTTTCCTATCATATAAACTTGCCACTTACATTCCCCTTTACTGGTACACAGGCAGAATAAAAATCCTGTCAAGTACTTGCAAATTCACCTTGTGCCTATTTAAGTACCACTAGACAGTGTAAGAAAGCTATAAAAAGACAGTAGCACAAATATGAGTCAGGCCCAGTAAATTCAGTCAGGTTAATCCTGATTGTACTGGAGGGTATCAGGAAAAGGAGTGGTCATTCCTGGAATCTGACCTATTGAAAATCTAAGAGAATTGATTTTTATTTTTCTTAATTTCTCATCAACTGAATTTCCTTGCTCATTTATATCTTCATTATCTATTTCTGCTGTTTTACCCACAGACCCTGTGTTTAACTTGCTGTGTATCTGGAGATCCTTACCCAGAAATCACTTGGTTCAAAAATGAGAAGGTTATTGTCTTTAAAGATCGTTACAAAATGGATGTGAAGGGGGCAGTTGTCACAATTACCATAGAGAAAGTCTGCAACGAAGACACAGGAAAATACAGCATCTATGTCAAGAATAAGTATGGTTCTGAAACAGGGCAGGTTACTATCAGTGTCTATAAGCACGGAGAGATACCAATAGGAATGGAAGAAGAGGGAGTCTCAGGTGGTGTTATAATGAAAAAGCCTAAATGAATTAGTCAGTTATGTCTTATTGAATTGAAAAGGAATTTAACTCCTTTGGATTCCTTTCAGTGTCTCTGCCCTAAAACTCAGGCTCATGTCTCTATTTTTATTTTAGTAATATTTTAGTATTTTAATTTTGGCAGTTGTTAGAAAACAATCCTCGTGTGTGTATGTGTGTGCGCACACGTGTGCATGCGTGGGTACGCATGCGTGTTCACCTCAAAGAGAAACTCTCTCCTAGTAAATCTGTGTGGGAAATACCAGAGGATTCCCCTATGAGAACCAGGCTTTCAGAGGAGCTTTTTTTTATATTAAATCACCACGTGTTACTGATTATCTTGTAGCTGACAAATGCTTGTGTGTGTGTGAATTATTAAACTTACACCCTTGGTGGCACCTCAGCGCTGTTGTCAAGTACATCCGTCTTGAAATCAGTGGGTCAGCGTGTGGGAAGTTAGGAATTTTCCTAAATACCATGCTGAATCGGGGCCTTGAAGTCTGCATCCTTCCAAACCTGACCCATGTGGGAAGAAAACAAAGCAGTGGCATTTTCAAGGCTTAGTTCTTTACAGAGTAACACATTCAGCTTCTTTAGTGCTGAATGAATGTCTACAGAGGTCGACCCAGATCTTTCCACCCTACTGAACACACTTACATTCTTTAGAATTAAAGAGATTTTTTGGTTTGGTAGTTACGTTGGAATATTCTGAATGCAGGAAGAAGTGTGGCCTCTCAACTGCTCAGAAGCCACAGCTATACTCTCAGCTTCTACCAGTAAAAGTGTGTCAGTTTACAGTGAGAGACAAAAAAGTGATAGTGTTCCTAATACAACCATCCAGCTAAACATATTTATTCAGCAAAATAGCATCTTACCTTGCTACTCAAACTAATATAAACTGTCCTCACAGCAGCAGTATTTTTCCCAGTTATTTGAGGGACACTGCAATTCCAGCATCAACGTAAAAAAGCACAGCAGTCCTGCAGAGGATTGCCAGTCTTTTGACCAAAGGCAGTTACATTGCAGACACTACTTAAATTAAATGTATATAATTTATATTATTAAAATCAATAATGCTAAAAAGAGAGAGCTCTGCTAATTGTCTAGAATCAACCTTACAGTGAACGAAGAAAAGCAGGCCCTTTGATAGCATCATTAACATTAGTCTCTGGTAGAAAAGATCGATCGTGTCCTAGAATAACTCCAGTATAAACACGCACCTTTTAGAGTCGTGTGTGTTACACCCCACACAAAAATACAGCCTTATTCATTATCACTACCTCATCCTTGCTACTCAGGTATTATCGTATGTAAACGTAATTACAAAATTGGCTCTTTGTGTGAATTTTCTTTAAAATTACCTACTGAAAAAAAAAAAAAAGTTGTGAATTTGTAAGAAAAAATTCAGCATCGGTTTTCTATTTAAATAGAAGAATTACTGACTGGTATGGAGTAATAAAAGTTAGCTTAGAAAGGTCATCCACCCCTGGGATACAGGGCTTTATTTGAATTAAGCAATGTAATTGCAAGATACATAATCTAATGAATATCTTCCAAAATCAACAGTCGTGCTTGCACAGACAGCAAGGAATATCACTCAATAGCTATAACGAGTGAGGAATTCTTAGTGCAAATGGTGAGAAGAAAAACAATACATCCCATTTACTTCTTCCATTTCAGTCTCCAAGCAACGTTCCATGTTATATTGTACCTTTGATCCCCTATGCATGCAGGGATTATTAAAAAAAAAAAAAATAAACCCAATTTAATACAGATTTAGGTGCACATTACTGACATCTACTGGATGAAGTCATAACTGACTGTCCCACTCCAAGGATTCTCCCTCAAGCAATCAGAGGCCCACAACTTCGGAAGGAATAGCTGTGGATTTTATTCCCATCGTTTAAGAATCACAGAATCACAGAATCTTCTAGGTTGGAAGGGACCTTAAAGATCATCTTGTCCAACCGTCAACCTAACTGACAAAAATAGTCACCCACACAACAGACAAGGAGCAAAAGGTGCAAGTCCCCGTCATAGAGAATATTGTGATAATTAGGAAGTTCCTGCTGCAAGACAGGAATTACCTCACATCAACTGTGAATGATGCCATTTTATCTGAAGAATCCTATCTAAAACACAGAAAATATATTAAACATAGAGGTTGTGAACAAAAAGAAAATAAATTAATCCATGCAACACTTTAGAACAATTATGAATAATGACCCGAGTTCAGTAACCCACAATAAACATAACATCCCAAACCAGCTGGTCAAGGTAAGACTTTCTACAAAGCAGAATGAACTAGAGGTTATGATCATTAAGAACAAATAAATGATTAATAATTGTTACTTCATGGTTAATAATTAACCAGTCACAATTTGGGCTGGCCTTTCCTCTTCCATAAATAGCATCTGAATGACCAGGGAGAGCCCTCGCTTTCCTGCTGGCATCACTGCCCTAAACTGCCTTATAACATCCACAATGGCATTCAACGGAACCTGGCAGGTCTACGCTCAAGAGAACTATGAAGCGTTTCTGAAGGCTCTTGGTAAGTCTCTTGTTACTTCTGGAATCATTTGCTCAGATCGCAACACACACTTTGCACGACCTTTCTTACTACTGTATTTCTCTGGTATGAAGCGTTTCTGAAGGCTCTTGGTAAGTTTCTTGTTACTTCTGGAATCATTTGCTCAAATCGCAACACACACTTTGCACGACATTTCTTACTACTGTATTTCTCTGTTTTTTTTTTTCTTTTGTTTGTTTATGACAAACTGTCCCTGTCGGGTAAGTCTGTAATTTGGAAATTAAAAGAAGCTGAAAATTGTACAAATATATGTAGAAAGGTTACAGATAACCCCCAGATCCCTACCTTAACATCACACGAGTCCCTCATGAAAGAAGAACTATATCAGAAATCAACTTGCTTTGATTAACATAACTTTATAAATACATTTAACTAAAAACAAGTTGTCAGTGATGTATTCTGGTGTCCAATGTGCTATTAGTCGTGCAGGCTCTTTCTGCAGCACTAGTGATTAACGTGTGGGAGCTGCTTAGTAATCTGTAAGGAATAGGTTTAGTGGTTATGCCTGCATTAATAAAAATCATAGAATCATTTAGGTTAGAAAACACCTTTTAGATCATTGAGTCCAACCATAAACCTAACGCCTTCAAGCCATCACTAAACATGTCCCTAAATGCCACGTCTACACATCTTTTAAATACCTCCAGGGATGGTGATCCCACCACTTCCCTGAGAAGCCTGTTCCCCTTTGGGGGATTTTTAAGAGTATGTAAGAGGTAGTCAATAGAATAAAATTCAGTTACAGTAGAAAAGCCTAGTCCGACAGTATGATGCCTGACCCATTCCCTCTACTGCTGAAGATGATACCCCCAAATCACACTGGAGATGGCCAGTAAGATCTGACAGAAGGTTAATGAATATAATATCAAAATGTGTACAGACTCGATGGAATGGAACATTATGCCCATAGAGAAGTGAGGAATCCAAACCATCACTTTCTATTATTGGCTTATATCTTTTGCAACTTTATCAGAGAAAATAATTTGCTATTTCGTATCATAAAAGTCCGTTTTTGCATTTTTTACAGCATTGCCAGATGACCTTATCAAACTCGCCAAAGATATTAAGCCTATCGTTGAAATACAACAAAAAGGAGATGACTTTGTTGTGACATCAAAAACACCCAAGCAATCTGTAACGAACTCATTTACGCTTGGAAAAGAAGCTGACATTACTACCATGGATGGCAGAAAGCTAAAGGTAATATATTTCAGGCATGGGTTCATCTCTTTATTCATCCTTACACTTCAGTTTCTGTGTATGAATGAAACTTCAAGAGCACACATTTCTATCATTTCAACAAACAGAAAAGTTTCTTCTAAAACTCTTACTAAAATGCTGTGGTGTCCTGTTTAAATTAGCAGATGTGACTATGAAACACCGGTATCATTTATTTCCTATTTATGTAGCCCTCTACTTATTCTAATTGAATTCCAAAATGTGAATTTTTTTATAATTTTTAAATCTTTTTCACCAGTGTACTGTGAACATGGTAAATGGGAAGCTTGTGTGCAAATCAGACAAGTTCTCTCACGAGCAAGAAATTAAAGGAAGTGACATGGTGGAGGTAAGTGTGAGAAAATAATGGCACGTTAAGAAAAATGCTGAAGGAAAAAATGTTCTATGTTGATCAGCTCTTAGTGTAGGCTCAATACTTTAAACAAATCCTGGCTCCAAAATCCTTACAGGTGATTAAATCTGCAGATACAGACTTTTAGTATTTCAAGCTAAAATTCATGGAAAATACTATTCTTATTTAAATAAATTGCTTTAGATAACTCTCCTTTAAACATTGCTCATATATTTAAGGCATCCTGCTCAACAAATCTGTTTATTAATTACTACCCTGGGGCCATTTCTAGGCACTGAAGTGTGAAGGGCTTTCGCTGCTGAGCGTGTTGCAGAAAGATTCCTTATAAATTCCTCTATATTACTATAGCAGTGTTTCCACCCTTAGCTTTATCCACAGCAATGGCTCTGGATAGTAAAGGCTGAGTCAAACCTGAAAATTTACAATTGTAGTTCCACCTGCAACTCTTCAAAGTTCTTTAGTTGGTTTTAAACTGTTTGGTACTGACCAAAAGCTTTTCTCTATAGAGTTAAGCTCATTTGGCTTCTAGGAAGCGTCCACTTGGGTAAATACTGCTGCAAGAGTGACAGCTAACTGCATTAAAGTTATATGGTTTGGACCATATGCAATTTCCTAGGATCATTTTAAGTATCTCAAACTACTTTTGTAACAGTAAGTAAGCAAAACACCAGGCAAAAGAACCTATTATTATTTGGGACAGTGAATTTCTGTTACAGGAAGCATAACTTTCTTGTAATATCTATGATAGCTCTTAAAACAGAGGGATAAAATGCAGTTATATTGGCATTTGTATTCAGATTTTCCATCTTCAGAACTAGTTCTGTAAAAAAATTCTCCTTGGAATGCATGTTATACACATATTTATAGGCAGGTACTGTAAATGTATTTTCTCGTGGAATAAGATGGATTTATAATGGTTTACGGTAACTTCTAGCCATTTAGCTATAAACAGATTTCCTAAAGTCTAAATGAAAAATACATTATGTGTATTTGTTTTCTACAGACTATGACTTTTGGTGGAGTAACACTTGTCAGAAGAAGCAAGAAAATTTAAAGACAGATCACCTTCTTTGTGACATCTTTACATACCTAGAATAAAGTGCAGTTTCCACAAGGTGTCATCTTTGTTATCTGAAAAAACAGTACAGAAAAGATAATTAGAGTTTCTGCTCTCCTTTCAAACACATATCACCTCCCATTATTTTAAGACTGTTTTCCCCGAGTACACTTACAGATCCCTTCTTTACTCAAAGTGACAGAAGTCTGCCTCCTAACAACCAAACCTGGACACTAACTGGAACACTATGATTTATCATAATAATCCTTGGGAGTGGACAGAAGCTGATATAAATTTTTTCCTGATTTCTTACATAATCAGAGAACATATTCAGCTTTAGTTCCTTTGTTTAATAAAGTTCGGTCTTCTACTAAAAACCTTTCTCTGTAACTTAGCCAGCAAAGAACAATTAGACATTTATTCAGCTGATCTACACCACGTGTCTATAACAGGAATAGAAACAGTAGTATTTTAAAAGCTATGAAGTGTTTAACAGTCATAAACAATTACAAAGTAATAATAGGAATGGCTGCTCTTAAACTGAAGTACACGCGAGTACAATTAAACAAAAACGAGGCACTACAACAGCAGAGGGAATTAAATATTCTTCCAATTTGCAACATAATCTGAGTATCTGCTTGTCACAGTTCAAGTTTGTGAAGCTCAAGTGCAACTAAACTGTTTATGTTCAGCTTATGTGTCTCTACTGAAGCATAAAATGCACAGGACCCATGCCTACAACTGTTTCTCTATTCACTGCTGATTAGATCCTACTGTTGTATTCCAAGTCCTGTTTCATATTTAAGTCACTGCAGATTTGTTAGAACTGGTCTTGGGTGTAAGACCTCCATGAAAAAAAGTTGCTGGACTCATTATGCCATTTAAAATCTTCATGGGGATGTTTTATTCCAATTAAGAGTCTATATCTTTCTACCTGAGGAGCAGGGCAGTTTGTGAGGGAGGAGGTTGTGTTTTAGTTAATAACACTTGCAACGTGATATAAGTAATCTGGGAAGTGTATTCCTATTCCGGGATAAGGCTGGCCCTCACAGCGAATTATACTGGCGTAACCCTGCCAAGTATCGTGTTCATTCTGCTTCCCAGGCAGCTCTAATGTTACGTAGACTTTTGCAGACTAAATTCAATTCCACGTGAGTTACACATAAATAAGATCAACACAACAGAAATCAAGACAGTGGTAAAACTCCGGGAGAAAAGCTGCTTTAAAGCATCCGTACTGCAAAAAAAAAGCCATATAAGAACTTCAAACACTTCTGTTTGGGAGTTGCTGGGTAACTGCTGCTAACGACACAGTGAAACACGACAAAACAGAGCACGGGTTTCCAACAGTAAATTCACTGCGAGTCTTCAATGACCAAATGCTGTATCAGTAAATTGTAGGATACAAAATAGGAGACATTTCAGGTTTATTTCTAAACCTATGCAGAGTTCATTCATTACTCTGAACACTACACTTTTAAAAGCTGATACAAAACAATTGCTTTTGATACATGGTGACATAAAATGGGACCGATGTTAAAACAAAATGCATATGGATTTGTTTGCTTTTAAAAGAAACATGAAGGTCTTATTTTGGTTCAATGACTGACTACTTAAATATTCCCGGCTCAGTTGACATAATCTGCTTTGCAAACTCGCTTCTTCCCTACTCAACCCCTTAACAAAGTCCAACCTTAATACACAACAACTGGTACGCAAAGGTGGTTTAACTTATAGACTGTAGCTACTACATACTAAAAGCACACTAATCCTATACAGAACTTAAACTGATGCTAAGCCATTTTAATTTGAAAGCACTAAAAATTCTTAAAAGAATATTTCACCTTACTTCACAATCACAGTGACTTAGTATTTCCAACTGTGCCAATCTTTTCAATCCAAGGGTAATATTCTTCTGCCACAGGGCATCTCAGATTTAATGAAATATTCAGTGCAGCTCCTTACATGAAGCAGTCAAAACCTGAAGGATTTTGATCAGATTGCGAACCTTGTCGCACTGCCCAAAGTAACCAATCCTTTCTGGATGACAAACTCGTACGGGTTTGGATGATACCACTGGATTCACTCTTCCACAAAACCAAGTCTTTTTTTCTTTTCCACAAAGGACTTCATGGGAGTATTTATAATCTTGTTTGGATCTTGTTCAAAACTGTTCATTTCCAGTTTGAAAAGCTCTGAAAGGGTAATCCTGGCACAAAGTTTTTCTGTCCATCACCATCACTCTTTGGTGATTCCATTGTTTTTCAGAACATCTGCGGAAGGAATTTTTTCTGCTTTGGTGTACCTGCACTCCCACCGTAATTTCAGTCTCTAATGTGCTTTCTTGGCTTGATTTTCATGTTCTTTTGATGACTTGTGTAAGCAGATCTGTGTATATATATTGCACAAGGTAACAAACTCAACCTGCTGGTAGCATACTTAGTACAGAATAATGCTAACTGTAAATATTAAATGCAGAAAACATTGCCAGAGACCCCCATCTCTTTTCTGCAGAGTCCTGAACATGGACCACTGAGCATACAGCCACAGTGATTTTCTTTTTTTTTTGGATGAGCAGCATATATAGTTGACATAAACCTCCTGTGTCAGGGATCGAACTTGTCATTCAAAACCTGTAGAAATGTCAAGCAATTCCGAGTGTGAGATTGGCGGGATATGAACAGCAGGGTCCACCCACAAGAGTTTTCATTCATATTCAGGCATTAAAAATTTAAAAAAAGTGAAAATATGCTAGTGACAGATATCTTTCTCTCCCATCTGCAGTTCATTGAAAATTCCTCACAGCAGCAAAGATGCAGAGACGCTGCTTAATTGAACCCTTCGACTCACCTGTAACTGTTCAGTCACAGACCTGCCATTTATCTGCCTATAAACCTGTTGGTGACTCACACATTGAGGTGTTAAGAAATAATCTCTCTACTCGCCTACTTTACTGTTCTCATCACACAAACGGCTTTAGTAAAGAAGGGCCGGTCCTTTGCAAATACCGCTGCTCTACAACTGTCCAATGAAAAGTCCTGGGGCACAACAGCCATTGGTGACAGGGCCACAGAACAGTGATCCCTCAAGCCACAGGAAACGGCCCTTCCTAAAAGTATTTATAATCTCATCTGGATTTTGTTCAAATCTGTTCCATTGCCACTCGGAATGGGCAATCCTGGAAGCACGTATTTCTCCCCGTCACCAAACTCCACAAAGACCAACAGGTCTCTGCGCTGGCCGACTCCACAGGAGCGAGCCACGGCGCTGTGAGGTGACGGCGGGAGGGCGAAAGCACCCTCTCCCCTCAGGGCGGGCGCCCACCCTCCACCTTGCCCGCGCGAGGAGCGCTGCTCGCGCGCATCCCCCTCTTTGGGCGGGAAAGGCGCGCGGCCGCGGTGGGGGGGCGCACGCGCGGACGGGCTGGGTGGGGGACGCGCCCGCTCGGGGAGGGCTCGAGCTGCGCACGCGCGCGCCCCCCGGCGGGTAGAGGGCGCGTGCGCAGTGAGGGCAGGGCCGCTTTTGGCGCCGGCAGTTGCTCCCTGTGTTTCCCTCCTCGCGCCGAGCTCTCGCCGGAAGCCTCGCGGGAAGTCTCGCGAGAGGCGGCGGGCGGGCGGCGGTGGCGCTGCGTGCAGCTCCCGGAGGGTCGCCTCAGCCGCTCGCCTCCCCGCAGCGCCCGGGCCCGGCCTGCCGCTCGCTGCTTCTCTCCCCGCCCCTCCAGCCGCCGCCGCCGCCGCCATGTCCCGTTACCTGCGACCCCCCAACACTTCGCTCTTCGTGCGGAACGTGGCCGACGACACCCGGTGAGTGGGGGCGGGTGCCAGCGGGGCGCGGGGGCTGCGCAGGCTTTGGCGGGCTCGCTAGGCCGCGCGGGCGGCAGCCGCCGGAGAGGCGCGGGGGCCCCTCACGGAGCGGGGAAAGGGGAGGGGGCGAGGCCGGCCTGCTCCCTTCTGCTGCTTTACCTTTCTCCCCGCCTTCTCCCCGCGCCCTTCTCCATTTTCCTCTCCCTCCTCGCCATGCTGCTCTCCTTCCCTCCTCTCCACGAGCATCGGTTTCAAAACAAACGTCCAGAAAGAACAAAGCTGGGCCGGGACAAAGTGAAACTCTCCTGCCCGCGGTTGAATTTATCCAGCGGGAGATCGAGGCGGGATTTGCAAGCCCGCTGGAGGGATAGCTGCCCGTGCCCCTCAGCGATGCTCAGCAGCCGCGGGAGAGGGGAACGCTCTTTGAAATACAGCGGTTGTTACTAGAAAAGGCGACAACAGCGCCTTTGCTGTGGGTGTCCCCAAAATTCTTGGCGTAGTCGGTTCCGTTAGTATGGTAATTGCTGCCAGCTCGGGTGGAATGTTACTGCATTAACGGTTATGTATGGTGTCCTCTTATGACACTCGCTATAAAGGGAGGGGGGAACAATGCTTTTTTCCCGTAATAACTGTATTGTAGCAAAATCCCCTAAGGATTAAATATGTGCAGCAACTTAGCGAGGTAACTTTTCACAGCGAATTGAAATAATTAAAAAGTGGTTATTGAACGGGTTCTTATTTAATGCTTGGGCATTTTTAATAAACTACTAGACTTCTCCATTTCTGTTTTGCAGTTTATCGTATCCCTTTTGTGTTTTACCAGCTGTGAAACAGAGCGTATTCGTATAGAATGCATATGTGAATTAGAGCCCTCTTTTGTTGTTAATTATTGCAGAATTTGTATGGGAGTCCCTGTAAGGTCTAGTTGTATAAAATGTGAGCATGAGTTTTTAAACTTGCTACCTGGGCAGCTTGCACCAGAGTTGTTCAGCAAATAACAATACCATTGGTGTGACAATGAATTAGAAACCTTGTTATAGTCAAAAGTGTAAATAGCTTCAAATTAATTTTTTTTTCCAATGAATTTTTCTTTCCTCTTTCTGGTAGTTTATTTTACCGTTAGGACAATCAGGGAGGACAGTTGCTTCTGAACTTTCTTAAATAATGTGGGTCCTTTTGAGGCTTTTGCTATAAGCTTGTGATTAGACAGTACATTCTTCTTAGGGGTGGTTTCATTGTGAGATGTTGATGTTGGTCATCGTAGTTGCCTTCTGCCGTCATTGACTATATGCACTGCAGATTCTTTCCTGACTGATGAGAGAGAGAAATGAATAGTAGTAACCCTTCTATACCACATAAATATGGTACTACATCAGTCTTTCTCATACAGGTTATTGTCCTCAAATGACACAAAAAATACATGTAAAGAAGCTGATGTGATTAAGAAACCTCTCTGTTGAGGAGACAGTAGTTGTTCCTAGTATAGTTACAGTTCTGTTCAACAGTTTTTGTGCTCAGTTCTCTTAAAGCCACCTCCTCGGAAAAGCTACCCTAAGGGCATGAATGGTTGCTCACTCAAGTTTTGTTCTATTTGATGTGGTTGTAAGTATTGATTATGCTATGGAAATGAGTTTGTGTGACTGGTTTATTCTTGTACTGTTCATTTGGATCTTACAGTTGATGTCTGCATGTTGCAAAATCATTGTCAAGAGTTACATGAGGTACTTGAATAACAATAATTCTTAGATCTTTCTTTTCACTTTCTGCCCACCTTTGCTAGTATGTCCTGCATTGAATTGACTAATATGCATCGCTTTTCAGTTTACACTTCTGTTGTAGAGCGATGCTGAACACTGGTTTCCAAATGCCTGGGTGTATCTCAAGCATCCCGAGTTTGAGTGTTTTCCAAAAGCCTCGTGTGTTCCTTAACAATGAACTGCTCAAAGGTGGTTTTTTTTTCCCTGAAAATGTTTTGCTACATGCATCCTCTACCAACTGCTTCCAGAAGGATGGGTGGTCATATTGATTGTAGATTTTTACATGTTTTAAATCACTGTTATCTTTTTATTTGATGGATGTTTTTGTAACACCTTAAATAGTGGAAAAAAAACCATATAAGATATTTGTGATATTCTAGGTCTGAAGACTTGCGCCGTGAATTTGGTCGTTATGGGCCTATAGTTGATGTATACGTTCCACTTGACTTCTACACTCGTCGTCCCAGAGGATTTGCTTATGTTCAATATCCTTTCTTCAGATGGCTGATTAGTGAGGGGTGTTGAAGTTTGAAATTCAAGTTTGTGTAAGAGGTAACAAATCTAAATGAAAAAGCAGTTTACTTTTGTGTTGTATCTAATAAGTGTCTTACTTATATTGTGGTGTTTCATTATTTTTGAAGATTAACTTCTCTCAATTGTTCTTTGCCTTTTTGCAAAACTTAAGTCCAGTAATATAAAAGCTTGCTTATGTCACTGAAATTAATACTATATGATTTAAATGAAAATTTATCACTGACTCAAAATTGTCTAGCACGTTTTTATTATCACTGGTATGTAAGTAAATTTGTGCTTAGCAAACTGTGGCTGGTATTCATTGTTAATTTAACAAATGGAAACTGGAATCACTTGATCAAAATCAGATTGTATAAAAAATGAGGTGAAGTTCTTTCTTTAATATTGTCCCCTAATTTACTGTCCTCTGTTGTTGCCTCAGAATGTAAAGCTGTACAGTAATGGCGACCCCAAAGAGAAAGCATGAAAGAACCTTTAGAGTAGAGTTCAACAATTAAGGCAAGTAGACAAGCCAAAGACCTCTTAAGGATCAGGCTTGAAGAGAAGGGAGAGTTTGGGAAAAGAAAAAATAAAGAAAAGCTGGAAGAAGGACAAGCCATAATGGGAGACAAAGCTTCGCTTTATCTACAAAAGGGGGAAAAGGTTGTTTTTCAAAGTAAAAGATAAAGCCATCTGTCATTTTTGGCCAAGCATCTCATGACAAGTCCTTCTGACAAGCACTTAAAGAGTTAAAGGTCAAGATGAAGTTGAATGGTGGCCAAGATTAAAGGAGTCATACCTGATGTATCCTACAGAATAACAGCTTTTCTTCTGTTTGTCACGTAAGCAGTAATTTGATGAATGATTCTGGTTTAGTCCATTGACAAAACCTGTAATATTTCTCTTGTGAGTGCTACTGTAACTGTGGTCTTGAGTGAAAGTGCATTCGTTCTTGGTTTATCGAGCTTTATACCTACAACGCGGTAGTTTCTTTTCTGCTTAGATGATGCTGCTGGTGAACTGAGTTGCTACAAGGAGAAAGGCAATTTGTTCTTTCGGGTCACGTAGCTGGAAAAAGGTGTGGGACTTACAGTAGTGGTCAGTCTTGCAGATTAAAATTAGTAATGTTTTTGTACTGAACATCTGACCTGACTGAGAGTGTAGGGATTTTAGTGTATGCTTTTATCTCTGGCTGTTGAAGGTCTGCATACATGTCCATGGCATTACAGAATTTAAACTTAAAGTCAGTTAGTGAAAAAACAGAGAGCTTTATCCCAATCCTAAAATTAATAGACACGTGTTAAATTTACTGTTGGTATGCCTAAAGTAATTTAAGAACAAGGGTTTAATTTTACTAAAGTCAGTGTAGTGGAGAGAACTGAATGACCATTAACAAATGTGTTTTGAGAAGGATACCGCTTCTTTTTCTTGCATAAGTACAAGTGGGAGAAGAAAAAAGTTAAGAGTATTGCATAGCAACTGCTTGCTGATGGATAAGTTCATGGTCATATTATGAGACTTTAATTTTATTGTAGGAGTTCTCAGATAGCTTCTGGTTAAATTTTAAAAAATGAATTTATTAGTGTATACTGTAGCATGACCAAAAGAACTTAAAAAAATAATCCATAACCAAAAAAAACCCCTGTGAAATTATAAAATAACTTTTTTTTTTTATTTTAAATGCCAAATCTGTAAACTGCTCAAATTCCCAAGTACCTTAACACTCACCACATTTGAAGATGTCCGTGATGCAGAAGATGCTCTCCATAATTTGGATCGAAAGTGGATTTGTGGTCGGCAAATAGAAATCCAGTTTGCACAGGGGGACCGGAAGAGTAAGTGCTTTGTGTTTATTAATTTCATCAGACTGTGATTTTGGCCTTAATGTGTAGTGCCAGGCAATGTCACATGTGCTATTAATTGTTGTGATATGTTCTTACAGTATGTGGATGTTTTGCTTTTTATGCGGTAACTATTAATGACTCGTTTTAATTAAAAACAGATAACTAAGTGTAACGGTCACTTACACAATCTGATCCGTGCTGCTGACAGAAAATTCTTAAGAGCTTTCTTTGCAGAAACACAGTGTTGAAAATTCTCCCTGTCCAAATGAGCAGCTCAGTTTTAATGCATTGCAATGTTTATATTGTGTTGAAGCCTGTTAGTGATTCTGTGTTGACATTTCCCCCTGCTGTCCAATTTCCAGGATTGTGGTAATGTCTTAATTTTCACTTGGCTTCAAGATAAAAGTAAATTTCGAGGTATCTCCATTCAACGTGACACAGATGTGTTAGATTCTGAACAGATAATTGTAAAGAGAACTTAGATCTTTTCCATCTGTAATTCATATACATATTCTTAACATATAGATAAATACTATATAAAAATACAGCATGGTGTTGGTAAGCCTAACACGTACCTGTTGATCTAAACCAGGACTGTGATGCTTATGTGCAGCTTGGGAATAAAAACACTTTAAGGATCTTTCAGTTAAAGCTGTCAAAGAAACAACCTAACTCTGCAGGTTTCTCTCAAATACTCACATCTGACTTATTGAAGTCAATGGAAATTGTATGCTCTGAAGGACAGACTTCTGTCCTGTATATAAACATTAGGATTTCTTCCAAATTTCTGAAGAAAAATTAACTAAATCTACCGTAGTGTTGTAAACAGCAGCACTTAAAAATTGTGGCCATTTAGTACAGATAGTGTTCATCACAGCATGGTATGTGTAAAATACTGTGAGCGTGGTCTTTGGGTCTGAATGAGAATGGGATTTAATGCCAAGGAAAGATAGCGGTGCTGCTTAGAGGAAGTAAACCAGAAGGCTAATAAGTTCATTCATTCTTAATTGTTTTAATAACTGAGCTACAGAGTGAATGTGCATCATCTTACTGGCAGGGGGAGTACTTCTAGAATCAGACTTCTCTTTGTGTGGCGGCTGCTGCTGTATGCACTGCCTTTTAATCATTAAAGAAGACTGTGGATCAGGTGTAACGCGTGGTGCTGTGTTGGCAAGAAAATAGGTGTTTAATTAATTCCCTGTTAGCTTTCACTTTTTTAGCAAATTCAGGAATGTAAGAATGTTTCAGTCATGGGTTTGGCCTGTCACACAGTTTCCAGGTGGCCTGAAATTACCTTAACCAATTCTTTGCTCTGGTTCTGTGGAGCATTAGTCCTTTCTTACTGGTTTTGGGGGTAGTTTATTTTGTGATTTGGTTTTCTTCCCCTGAGTCGCCCCCCCCCCCCCGTTATTTCTCTCCCCCCGTCCCCCCCCCCCCCCCCCCCCCGAATTTATGATGCCCACAAGGCTGCATTAATTTTTGTCCATTGGTTAAAGAAGCAAAAAGCAAATGCCATGCAGCAATCCCTTACCCATCCTTTTCATAAACATCTCTGCTAAAAACATGAATTATGCTTGCTGCTAAATACCAAGTATATAGATTAGTAGTGTCACTAAATGGAAAGCGGGGTGTCTTTTTTAACTTAAAAGGTTAAATATTGCTATTTTTTTACAGCACCAAATCAGATGAAAGCCAAGGAAGGGAGAAACCTATACAGTTCTTCTCGTTACGATGACTATGACAGATATAGGCGATCTAGAAGTCGGAGTTACGAAAGGAGACGGTCTAGAAGTCGTTCTTTTGATTACAGCTATAGAAGATCGTATAGTCCCAGAAAGTAAGTGTAGTGTGTGTTTGGCTTTAACTGCACAGCAGTCTGTTGGAGGAGAAATGCCACATTGACTATTTAATCGTTAAAGTTTTGAATCATCTTTTTCTATACTCACTTTGTAATTATTTGTGGGAGTTACGTATCTTGCATGCTACATCACATTGGAAATATTGAATGAAATGGTTCTGTGCTTTGTTGAAGAGTAACTAAAAGCAAATGCACAGCTTGAAAAATAATGTATTAAGCATTTATTACATACATAGGTATTTGTCACCGTTTACTTTTTCTGATGTACCTTTTTAGCAGTAGACCTACTGGAAGACCTCGTCGTAGCAGAAGCCATTCGGACAATGATAGGTAAAGTACTTTTTACTCCCTTTGAATTGAAAACTTAGATCACTGTATTCCTTTAACTATAGGTTTAAAAAAAAGTTTCTCCTGAAAAAAACGGTAAACAATTTTTAATGTACTAGATGTCTAAGAATAGTGTTTTTACATTCAAATCTCCTCTCTCCCCTTTATTCTGATAGGTTCAAACACCGCAATCGATCTTTTTCAAGATCTAAGTCCAATTCAAGATCACGATCCAAGTCACAGCCCAAGAAAGAAATGAAGGCTAAATCACGGTCTAGGTCTGCATCTCACACCAAATCTAGAGGCACCTCTAAAACAGATTCTAAAACACACTATAAGTCCAGCTCAAGATATGAAAAGGAGTCGAGAAAAAAAGAACCAGCTAGATCCAAATCACAGTCAAGATCACATTCTAGATCTAGGTCAAAATCCAGATCAAGGTCGTGGACTAGTCCCAAGTCCAGTGGCCACTAACAGTGTATCCATGTTGTTTTTAGGCATGTAAGATTCATTTACACACAGTTCAGTTTACTTAAATTATCAGGAATATGATGTTGCAACAGTGCTAAAAAATATTTTCTTTGTCAGTTTTCCCTGTAGCCGACAATGGTTAAAATTAAAACAGTGTTGAGAAGCCACTGAGAGAGAGAGAGAAAGAGAGAGAGAGAGGGAGAGAATGTCCACTTGGTTAAATGTCATGGGCAGCTACCGATTTGGTTGTGGTGTCTCTATGTATATTTTTGTAAAGATTTGCATTTTTAAATGCTTAGATATTGGTGATGACTTGATTGATCGTAACTTGCAACATTGTCCTATTAAAAGAAAAAAAATGTCATACCCGTAGAGAAATTGGTACCAGTTTGTGCTGAACAGTTAAACCGACTGTTTAACTTGTTCTTTAATGCTAAACTTTTTGGGATAAAACGGAAAAAACTGGACAGCTGTAGTGCAACACTGGCTGCCGGGAGACGCAGGCTGGCGATTTTCCGTTGTTCCAAGGCAGGTTTCCGTGTTCTCCGAGCCCACTGACACCAGTAGGTTGGTGAATAGAGCTCTATGGAGAGATGGGGTATTTTTTTTTTTTTTAATTTTTTTTTTTTTTGAGATTTCTCTTGAACCCTGCCATCTGGAGGGATGGTACTAACATTGCATGGACTACACGGGGAGAGAGTCGGTCTTGGAAAGCTCGTTGGGAGCCTGTGCAGTGTCGGGACGTGTCAGGATAGAGGCTTCACAGCTTTTGACCTGGCTGCTAGTACTAAATGTGTGAGGAAAAAAAAGATAAAACAACACACCTTGAAATGGAAAATTAAATTCCAATTTCAGCAAACGGCAGAGCAACTAAATATTAGGTTGTGTGTACATTTTATGCAGTTTTTGTATCTATTCTAAATTTTAGTGAGCAGTTAACCATAAAATTACTTAGTTTTCCTGCTGTTAGATACCAGTAGATTGTTTGAGTCGTGTGTGTACAGTATATAAGAACTAAACTTTTATGCCAATGACTCCTGTGGTTAGTTGGTGTCTTCATAGGTATAAAACTGTAGCCATCTCTCTTCCTGAGTAACAAAGACTTGCTTTTACACATTTAAAAAAAGTATTTGGTCAAGCAAGTCTGAATCACTTCTTCCTCAGAATGGATAGTGGTTTGGTTACAAGATTTCGTTTTACTTAAGAACAAATGTTTGAAGTTGGATATGAACAAGAGCTGCATCTCTAGCTATTTAGTTTATCACTAATACAGTATATTTAGTAAATTGAATGTGAAAAATAACAAAACCAGTGTGTAATCTTACCAGTATTTCTCTAGAAGGCAAGATACTTTGTTATGAAAATGGCTTTTGGCGTTTTTTTTTTTTCTATTTACCTTCAAAAGCCAGCATCAAACACCCGGTGTTCCTTGCTGTCTTATGGAGTAGCGTTTAAAGACATCGATTTCACAAAATTCCTTTTTAGAGAAATATTTTAGGGTTTTTGGTTTTAGTGTTTCCAGCAGGGCCTTTGAAGAAACGCAGACGGCTTTTAAATATTGGCGGTGGAACGTGCTTAGGGGGTTGATTCTAGAATCTTTGTACATTTGATAGTATTTCTAACTTTTTTTCTTTACTGTTTGCAGTTAATGTTCATGTTCTGCTATGCAATCATTTATATGCACGTTCCTTTAATTTTGTAGACTTTCCTGGATGTATAGTTTAAAAAACAGCAAAAAGTCTATTTAAAACTGTAGCAGTAGCGTGCAGCTCTAGCAGAGGAAAGTTGTGGGATTAAACTTTGTATTTCCTTTCTTATAGAGGCTTCTAAAAAGGTATTTTTATATGTTCTTTTTAACAAATATTGTGTACTACCTTTAAAACATCAATGTTTTGATCAAAATAACTAAAGACCCAGCTTATTTTCTGCTTGCTGTAAATTTAGCAAACATGCTGTAATAAAAAAATGAAGGAAATACTGATCCACTGGAATTATTGTAGCTTTAGAATTTGACTCCAGAGCATGGTTAGGAGTAGAGCTATGCATCCCTTATGGAGTGAAATCCTTACTATGGTATTTCAGTAAGGTCAGGAATTTATCATTTAATGTCTGAATAAATATCATTTCACATTTTTAAAGGGGTACTAGGCAAAATAAGATTGATAAGCGTATGTTTTAGTCTAATATATTGACATTTCTTTTCCGTTAACGTTCATTATGGCTGGATGAACTACCCTGTGGTTATAATTTGGGTATCATTAGCCAGGTTATAAACTCCTTAAAATCAGGAATTGAAGATTCCTAGAGAGAAATTATATTTGCTGTATCACGAGTTGCACCAGCAGTGGCTCTCTAGGAGGTGGCAAAGACTTTACTGGTGACGTTTAGAACCGGGGCTGCCTCCTGGCACTTCTGGTATTTAGGACTGGTTCTTCTTAATGCCACTGAAGAAAAACAACTCTGAAAAGCACTTAATTGCTTTGAGAAACCCCCTCTTGCATTTCGTAAGCTGAGCTCTGATTATCTTGTAGCATAAAAGTGGTGTGTAAGAGCGGAAAAGCCCACCCTTTTTCAGCTTTCTTAAAAGAATATAGTCTTCAAGACCCAAATCCCACCTGAAAGCGGTCCAGCCGACTGTGGTGTGGGAAGGTGCAGGTCTGTGGTTTTGTCAGCAGCCTCTGAGGCCTCGCTGTAATTAAAGATCTCGTTAGTCCAGCCAGAATTGGAGCTGGCTAAGTGGGGAGGAGGGAGGAGAAGGTCTTTGTGTCCAGGCTGAGGTTACAATTTGAGTCTGCGGAGTAAGAGTTAACGATACCTTAACTATTTTGTCATCATGTCCTTATATTGTGTGCCTCAACATTTATGTATAGCACAGTTTAAAAATCTTTTTTTTTTTTTTTGTTTTGAAAATCCAATTCATTGCAAGTATAATGTAGTATCTGACAGTTCTGATGGTTCTTTCTTTCTCTCCCAGAGGTAGGACTAAACTTTGACTTGACTTGTGTATATGAACAAGCCAGAAAAGCCGAACACAAACCCACGATGTTTCAAGAGTGCATGAATAAAGATGTTGTCCTAGTTCTTGCTCCCATGGAAAAATTGTGAAGAAGCTGTTCTGTGGGCCTTTCAGTTGGGGACGAGTTAGCAGGATGTGGCCAAAAGGGCAGGGAATGTTTACCGCATTCACGCAAGTCAAGCCACAGCCCATCTAGATAAAAACATCTCCCTCCCTCGAGGCAGGAAATCCTAATCCTGCCCTAAAAAAAAAAAAAAAAACAACCACAAAAACCAACCAAGAAATAAAAAATAAAAAGCAGTAGCCTGTTTTGTGTGAGCTCCCTGCAGGTTATGCACAGCTGGAATGCAAGAACATACGCAGGCTACAAAAGATCATGTCTAGGCATCTTTCTTTTGGAGTCTCAAGAATGGTGGGAATTCTGTTTTGTTTTTTTTTTTCCTGTGGTAAACTATAGATATTTTTTTTTGTCATTCCTGCAAAATTTGTAGAATTGCAGTAGTGTGTAAAAGCGGAAAAAAAAAAAATAATAATCTGCTGAAAAGTAATGGCCATGCTCCAAAATATCTGCAGCGTTAATTATCCATTTATCTCAGCAGTAACAGAAGGCTCTATTGGAACTTCTTTTTCACCAAAAGTCCGTGCACCCAACCGATAATTATAAATCTTTAAAATCTAGTGGTTGAGTAGCTGGGTGTTTAAATTAGGGCCTCTAATAGACTGTTTTCTGGAAGCTAAATGTTATCCTTTCTATGTCTTTTAAAGATGTTTAAATGTACAGTATAATGGCTTTATTCAAAGTGGAAATTTTCAATTTAAATGTTATTTTGAGCTCTCTTCTTGAAAAGAGCTTTTTTTTTTCTTACTGTTTAGTCTGGGGTAACAGCTTGAAAGTATGTTCAGAGAAGGGCAATTGGATCAACATCTTGATCTTTGACAGGGATGTTGCAGATGATTAACACTTGGAAGTACAAAGGGATAAATTTACACATTTTTAGGACATAATCACCCATTAATAATTGCTGGTTTTCTCCATTTATCTTGTAACTTGCTTAAAAAGTCTGTAGTCCATTTGCTATAATATTTGTCTAAAGATGCTCTTACTGATGAGACTATTCTAGGAAGGGAAGACTCTGTACCCTGTAGTGTGTTTGATCAAAAGATGCTGATGTTTTATTCATACACATCCTTTCTTCTTGAGTTTTGTGTTCCATCTGTGCAAATAACCCTGTGAATTGGGAATAAAATGTACAAGTTTTGACTATAACTTGAGAGCACCTTCTGAGTTAATTACTGCAGCCGTAGCCTGGTGGAGATCTGGTCCTGGAGATGCCCCAGGAGGGTCCTGCCAGCCCCTTCCAGCCCCGCTTTTGTCCTGGTGAGTGTGAATTTTCCAGCCCCGCGTTCCCAAATCCCCACCCAGGCTGAGGAAAAAGGGCTGGAGTTGAAGAAACTCCTTGTTGTAAAGCATTTTCCACCTTTTCTGACGCTGGACTTGTGCCAGGGTTCCCAGGTTCCTGTTTCTTGCCAGATAAAGATAATAGTAAAGAGTTTCTTGCAAAAGGAAAGGCTATGGATAAGTTAAGGATATGAAAAGGGGTATTTAAAGACATGAATCAGTGTTTTGAACTGTCAGAAGAGATTTATATTCAACTCTTTAAGCTGCCAAAAAAAAAATTCCCGCTTTTCCATTACCGTCTTAAAATAAATAGAGGCTTTTAGGGGGTGAAAATAGTTTATTTAAATTTTTATCGTTTCCAATTTGTACATACAAAGTAAGTAATTGACAATTTGAAGTTGAATTTTTAATACACAATTGTAAGTGGGATAACAGCTCATTCACTGGGGAAGGTCCAGGTCACAAAGTCCTTAAGTTTAAAGATCGCCAATTCCTTCTTATTTGGAGCAAGAGATTTGTAAACATTCAAACCAGCTGCCAAGGCATTTTGAATGTACAGAAAGACATCTCAGAACATCTCACAGTCCACAAAAGTCCCTCTTAAGTTAAAGCACCTCTTTTTTTTTTTTTTTTTTTAGTAATTACTGTATTTTTTTAAAACTCTGGATTTTGTTATCACAGTTCAGTTGTTTCCATTATAGGTCAACTGAATTGTGACAACAGTGAAAGCTGCCCCTGGCAACTGCCCTCGTTTTGTAGATTTTATTCTCTATTTTCTTTTAGTAACTAGTGGGACAAAATAATGTTGTAGCATTGATTCATTTTAGGAAAAAAAAAAACTATCAATTCATCAAGCACCCAAACTCAGCCATTGGCATTTTTTTGTGAAACACCCAATTTGGTTTTAAACACCTTAATGTTTTTTTCATGGTTTAACACACACCTCTCCTGTACATTCCAAACATGAGGATCTTCAACTTGAGCAGCTTTGCTTTTTTTTTTAATTTTTTTTAATTTTATTTTATTAAAAAATTCTAAATAAGCCTCTTTTGCACTGAGTTTACTTTAAAAATGAGCTCACAACAACGTGCATATTCACTGTACGTTAAGTGCAAGGGCACAGCCACAATTATTTAGGTTTTTTTTAACAAAATATTTTTTTTCTTTTTAAATCAGGCCATGTACTCCACATGGTCATCATACATTCAGCAGTTTTGTACTAAAAAATACTTCTGTGCAGGAAAGCCCAGCATCAATTTACATATGCTACAAAGTTTTACATTTATTTACATGGCTCTGTCTTCCCTATGAAAACATTTTAATACCTGCCACAAGCTACTGTAACTCACAACAATTATTACAGGGTACCCAATTTAAGACCAGCCTAACTAACTACTCCACCTCTTTTACAATTTTTAAAAACTGGTATAAAAATGTATTTTAGGTTTCATCAGTGCAATTGGTGTGCAAATGGGGGATTTTTTAGCTTTTTTGGCAGTCATCTGGCAATGCAGTGTCATGGGTTGGCACCGTCTGACTTGGGATGATGCCCAAGGAGCATCCTGAGAGCTGGAGAGCGGCAGTTCCAGGACACACCAAGATGTTTCCACATCCAAATTTTAATCACAGGCTGTAAACGCTCATCTGCCGATTCAAGGGTGTCTAATCAAGCTCTCTAGAGAATAATTTGTGGTTTACCTAGTCCTAGGTGGAGGTCTGCTCTGCAGTTTTTCTTTAACTAGCTAATTTTACACAAGTTTGAAAGGCAGCAAAGTACAAGACTAAAGCTTTCAGTGCATTTTTTTTCCAGTTAATGCTGCATTAAGTTAGGGAAAAGCTGATTTTCTACCACCACACCAAAAAGCAGTCACAATTCTAATTTGACAGTCCCACTTTTGTAATAAATGGCAACTGTTCAGGATTTGATTAGATTGATTACAGAGAAAATGGCAGAGGTTGGAACAAGGTGATCTTTAAAGTCCCTTCCAACCCAAACCATTCGATGATTCTACAAAAATACCTATTTCACAGTGAACACAGCACACGACTTTTGAGGTAAAAACATAAGGGGAATGTAAACTCTCAGCCCCTTCTCTTCCAAGTGACTTAACTACATGCAGCAAGAACATCTGGTTCTCTGGCCTCTGGGGTTAGGAACAACGCTTCTCAAATTTGAAACCCTGTAAATTTTAAATAACTTTAAAAATGCCTGGACTCAAGCCTGGACTTTGAGTAATGTTTTAAGCTGAAATGTCATTATTTCTTTATCAGAAGGTTTAAAAGAAACGGGTACCCAGTGGCTTGGTGGCTTAGGAAGAACACTTGGTGAGGGTGGCTCACTGAATTTTGCTCCAGCGTAGTTCTGGTTGGTCTGAGGTGCGAAAAACAGGTTGCGATTCGATAAAGTAGGACTCCAATTTTGATTATTGGGGAAATGAACATTGTTCTTTCCCCCTTTTTGCATGGCCTGCCATGCTCCAGGTGATGAGTTGCATCCGTGTCCTCTTTCTTTCTTCATATAGGTCTTCATCTGTGAATTCTGGTCTGTCTTCTTCTGCCTGTTTTTAAGTTGTTGATGGTTCTTGGTGGTATTTCTAGACTGGGGAGCTGGAATGTTGAATCTTTCTCCACCCCCCATCTTCAACTTAAATGTCACCTGTAAAAACAGGGGAAAAAGGTGGAGCTTGCATTACTACTTGATTTTTTTCTTAAAAATATCCCATCTTCAACTTAAATGTCACCTGTAAAAACAGGGGAAAAAGTCAGTGGAGCTTGCATTACTACTTTTTTTTTTTCTTAAAAATACTTCAAAGAATTTTTAGATTCTAAGCAAGGGAACTGAAACCAATCTAACCAGAACTCATTGAAAGTAGTGGGTTTTTCTCTTTTACTGGTTACCACTTCAAAAATAACCACTAACTTAGCTGACACGCTCACGAGAACTGAATTATAATGCAGTTTATCTTCTGCATGGGAGATTACTGACTCTACAATGGATTAACAATTCCACTGCTGCTGGCTGACCAGCAAGTCACAGAACAATCCATCCCTCAGGAACCGCACCTCAATAGTCAGAGCTTTGACTATCTAGTTATGAAAACACTGGCCCCTCCACACAGCCCACCTACCAAATAAACCCTTCTTTTCTCTGCAGCAAAAGGTGTTACTGGAAGAATATGAATAATGTGTTGCTTCCAAATTTAAGCTTTAGTATTTAATCCTCAAGACATTTAAACCAAGCTTGTTACACCTTGTTTGCAGTGATAAAGCCACTCCCTAGTCTTTTGGTAAATCCAAGAATTACTCTGATAAACCCAAAATGAACTAAAGACCATCACAAATGGAAAGCAGCCATTTATAACTGAACTTCCCAAGCAGTCAGCCAGATACTGTCCCACCTTCCTGCTGAGTCTCCGACACTGCAAGATTCCTCTCCTACCCCCCTTTACCTTTCAGTTGTTTTCTCAGATTCCACACTCTCCAATTCTTGCCCCCTTTCTTGCGTCCAAGCCTGGAAAAGTCGGTGCTGCCTTTTGCTGGACTCCTTCCTTTGGCTAGGAATGGAAGTTCTCATGGGCTGATCTGCTGTTTTCAGCCAGGGAGCCGAGCCCAACATCGGATTCTCGGCACAGAAGCTCCAAGGGAGAAGTCCCACTGCATAAATGAGAAAGTAGTTTGAACTCGGGTTAAGAAACAATTGCTTCTCTCTCAAAATAAGCTGAAGTAATTCAGAGATTTCCTGAAGTCTCTTATTTGGGAAAAAATAACAGTATCTTTGAACAAAAGAAGAAAAAAAAAAGGTAGTACTTATCTTTATTTATATAAACTTCACCATTCTATAACAATTGCTTCTCTCTCAAAATAAGCTGAAATAATTCAGAGATTTCTTAAAGTCTCTTATTTGGGAAAGATAACAATATCTTTAAAAAAAAAGAAGAAAAAAAAGGTAGTATTTATCGTTATTTATACAAACTTCACCATTCTACTTAGTATTTCACAAAGAGGAGTGTTTTTATCATGCTATATACCACTCCCGATAAATATTTTCACTAAGGAAAGGCAAGCAAGAACCTTAACTTTTTTTTTTTCATGGGGGAAAAAGTCAAAATACAACGGGGAAATACTTTGAGATTAACTTTTAGACAACTAGCGCTCCAATGTTTCATTCCTGAGCACAAAGAAATCCCCCTGAAAGGTCCCCGTGAAAACGAACCCCCCGACTCTGTGGGACCGCGACAGGAACTCAGCGCCCAGAACTGTCCCCAAGTGTCCCCACCCTTTCCAGAAAATCAATCGCCCCCCAAACCCTCCACCAGCCAGTACAACACAGCTCCATTTCTAATCTACCAGGTGGTTATTTTTCACCAAAATAACTCCTTATTAACTTAAAATAATTTCCTATTTAGCCCTCGACTCAGCCCCTCCTGGAAGGCTTTTTAAGATTTTAATCTTAAAGCACTCCGATCTGTTCACCTTCCCCCTACTCGACGTCTCACTTTTGAGTCATCAACACTCGAGTCCATCTCTCCCCAAGAGCTCCAGGAAGAGCCGCCCATCTTTATTTCCAGCTTTCGCCTTGTTATGATTAATCTAAAGGCCGAGGTAACGTCATTAGCACAAAATACTTCGCTGTTTGCTCCTACCGGAGCGGCCCTCACAGGCTCGTCGCTTGCCAGAGCTCCTCCGTCTCCTTATCTTCAAACTTTTTCTCTTTTTATGCTGCCTACCCCCCCCAGGCCCTCGTCGAGCCGGGAACCCCCGTCCCCACTTCCCCAACAATGGAGCAGCCCAGCGAACACAACATGGCGGCGGCAGCGCCCGGCCCTTCCCCGCACCGCTCCTCCCTTACCGACTTCTATCCGTCTCGTTCAGCCCAAAAGCACAGACACACACACGGGGGGCCTTCGGAAACCGACCCCGCTGCTCCTCCGCCGTCACTCTCCGACACCCCCCCCCCCCCCCCCCCCCCCGTAAAGCACAGCCCAAACCGCTCCACCAACTCCGGCCGCTGCCCCTCTGTCTCCCACACAAAATGGCGGCCGCTTCCCTACCCCGTATAACACCTTCACCCTCCTCCCCCCTCCCCTGACCACCCCTGCTCCAGCCAATAGGAGAGCGTCGCCTGCTCCCTCCGCTAATCAGGGCCAAGCCCCGCCTGTTGCCGGGAGGGGACGGGGCAGACCGACCGCCGTTTGAATCTCCTCAGCGCAGGGCAGCTCGGGAGGGCGGCTGCCCCGGGGCCCTTTGTCCGGGGACCGGGGCTCTTTGTCCCGGGGCTGGACCCTCCACCGGGCACGGCCCAAGGGTCCCCGGACTGCGCTCCCCAAGCCCCCTGCCGCGCAGCCGGCTTTCCTCCCCACCCCCGCTCAGGGAATTAGCACAACAAAAGAGGAGGGATGGTGGGCGGCTGCGCCAGCTGCCGCTTAGGGCTTCAAAGAGATAAAATAATTAACAAAAAAACCCGGCCCCTTCGGCGGTAAGAGGGTCCCCGAGAGCGGGGATTCACCGAAAAGCGAACAAAGAGCGAAATCCAGCCCCGTAGAGATCCTCCCGCAGCTTCCCCATCGCCTTAAGGGGTATCTGGGAGCGAGGGGCTCGTCGAGCCCGAACCCCACACCCACATGTGTTTTTGTAAGATATTTTTAAAATTTTAAATTATTAAAAAGAATTCAGAGTTATTTTCAATGTCAAACTGTAAGGAAATGCATGAAAGGAAAATCTTCCAGTTTTAAGCCACTGTTGTGGGAAGGGACTCGGAGCTGCCGAGCCCCCGGCGATGGCCGCTCTTGGTGTTCATCTTCACGTCCTCGTATTTTGCCTCAAGGGGTCATTTACACCAAAACCCACGAGATTTTATGTGTAGAGGCTGAGTGAAAGTTCCATAAACGCAGGAAACCTCCACGCTTTCCAGTGAGCTCTGGCTCCTGTCACCCCTGAGAGGTCAGTCAAGCGGTGCACACCTCATGAAGGATGAAAAAAGAGGAATTTAAAAAGAAAACACAAAGCAACTAATACAATTTAATCAACTCCGGGGCAGGGAAAAGTAGTTACAAACAACACAAAGAGTCAAAGTTTTGATTTTCAGGTATAGATACCTTGAAGAGCTCATTGAGGTGCTCCACTTTTATAGCTACAAAATGGAAAAATTACTCTTTCCTCCTTTATCTGTAAACCATTTAAACCAGAGCTGGTTTCTGACTGACCAGTACCTGGTTCTACAGGGCTCCGACCCGTTCCAGGGTCTTCGGGCACCCTTGGGACAAAAGGCAAGTCCTCAAAGGGAAGTTGTGTCTTTAAATAAAGTTTGTATTTCGTTATGCAGTGTTATTGAAGAAAAAAAGACATGCTACCTTTTAATATACAAAATGTGTTGACATAATCAAGCCCAGACCTTTGTGCATGTTCTTTATTGTATGTTGCACAAACCAAGCTGAGATTAATTTGTTTTCCTCCCTTTGCTCCCTATTTCCTGGCGCTTAATGTTATGGCTGAGATCCTTTTAGCAGCTTTCATTTAGATAGAAGCAACAGTATCTGCTGTAACCAAACACTTGAGCCTTGAAATTCCACTAATAACCTCAAACAACTCTCCTATAATGCACGCCAGCAGATTTTTGCTTTGGTTCTATCTTTAGCATGTTTATATCTGCTAAAACATCATCTTAGCTCAGTGTGCAGATGTTTTTAAGTCGGGACACGCCACTGATATTTAGAAATGGCATTTTACTGGCTGCACATGTGCTCTCTTGTCTGGGGAACAGAACATCCATGTACTTTTCAATTCAGATCAAGGATGACACAAGGTCTGGCAGTTTTTCCTCGCTATCTTTTAGATACTTCAAAAAAACACATCTTGTCTTTCAGAACTGGTTTTGGGGTCAGGCTGACACATTTAGCCAGAGCCACAGGAGAGCAGGAAATGTCAGTGATAAACCAGTCTTTTTGTAGAAACTCACTGAAAAACACCAGGAAACCGGATGACCACTACAGTAAATTGTATCGTCCAGAGTTCAAGCAGGAACACAAGGGGATTTTTAAATCAAAAGGGCAGGCGGTTCAGAATATCCAAAACACCACAATGCCCAACTTGCAAGCAAAGGGAAAGTTTCTCATGCTTCGTGCTTCAGCTGCTAAAGCCTTGGGCAGGTTTCCTCTCTGCAGCAGAAGAAGGGGAGATATTTACTGTGAGGGTGGTGAGAGCCTGGCCCAGGTTGCCCAGAGAAGCTGTGGCTGCCCCATCCCTGGAGGGGTTCAAGGCCAGGCTGGAGGGGGCTTGGAGCAACCTGGTCTGGTGGGAGGTGTCCCTGCCCAGGGCAGGGGGTGGCACTGGGTGGTCTTTAAGGTCCTTTCCAACCCAAACCATCCTGTGATTCTATGATTCCTGGCTGCCCCGGGGCCCTTTGTCCGGGGACCGGGGCTCTTTGTCCCGGGGCTGGACCCTCCACCGGGCACGGCCCAAGGGTCCCCGGACTGCGCTCCCCAAGCCCCCTGCCGCGCAGCCGGCTTTCCTCCCCACCCCCGCTCAGGGAATTAGCACAACAAAAGGGGAGGGATGGTGGGCGGCTGCGCCAGCTGCCGCTTAGGGCTTCAAAGAGATAAAATAATTAACAAAAAACCCGGCCCCTTCGGCGGTAAGAGGGTCCCCGAGAGCGGGGATTCACCGAAAAGCGAACAAAGAGCGAAATCCAGCCCCGTAGAGATCCCCCGCAGCTTCCCCATCGCCTTAAGGGGTATCTGGGAGCGAGGGGCTCGTCGAGCCCGAACCCCACACCCACATGTGTTTTTGTAAGATATTTTTAAAATTTTAAATTATTAAAAAGAATTCAGAGTTATTTTCAATGTCAAACTGTAAGGAAATGCATGAAAGGAAAATCTTCCAGTTTTAAGCCACTGTTGTGGGAAGGGACTCGGAGCTGCCGAGCCCCCGGCGATGGCCGCTCTTGGTGTTCATCTTCACGTCCTCGTATTTTGCCTCAAGGGGTCATTTACACCAAAACCCACGAGATTTTATGTGTAGAGGCTGAGTGAAAGTTCCATAAACGCAGGAAACCTCCACGCTTTCCAGTGAGCTCTGGCTCCTGTCACCCCTGAGAGGTCAGTCAAACGGTGCACACCTCATGAAGGATGAAAAAAGAGGAATTTAAAAAGAAAACACAAAGCAACTAATACAATTTAATCAACTCCGGGGCAGGGAAAAGTAGTTACAAACAACACAAAGAGTCAAAGTTTTGATTTTCAGGTATAGATACCTTGAAGAGCTCATTGAGGTGCTCCACTTTTATAGCTACAAAATGGAAAAATTACTCTTTCCTCCTTTATCTGTAAACCATTTAAACCAGAGCTGGTTTCTGACTGACCAGTACCTGGTTCTACAGGGCTCCGACCCGTTCCAGGGTCTTCGGGCACCCTTGGGACAAAAGGCAAGTCCTCAAAGGGAAGTTGTGTCTTTAAATAAAGTTTGTATTTCGTTATGCAGTGTTATTGAAGAAAAAAAGACATGCTACCTTTTAATATACAAAATGTGTTGACATAATCAAGCCCAGACCTTTGTGCATGTTCTTTATTGTATGTTGCACAAACCAAGCTGAGATTAATTTGTTTTCCTCCCTTTGCTCCCTATTTCCTGGCGCTTAATGTTATGGCTGAGATCCTTTTAGCAGCTTTCATTTAGATAGAAGCAACAGTATCTGCTGTAACCAAACACTTGAGCCTTGAAATTCCACTAATAACCTCAAACAACTCTCCTATAATGCACGCCAGCAGATTTTTGCTTTGGTTCTATCTTTAGCATGTTTATATCTGCTAAAACATCATCTTAGCTCAGTGTGCAGATGTTTTTAAGTCGGGACACGCCACTGATATTTAGAAATGGCATTTTACTGGCTGCACATGTGCTCTCTTGTCTGGGGAACAGAACATCCATGTACTTTTCAATTCAGATCAAGGATGACACAAGGTCTGGCAGTTTTTCCTCGCTATCTTTTAGATACTTCAAAAAAACACATCTTGTCTTTCAGAACTGGTTTTGGGGTCAGGCTGACACATTTAGCCAGAGCCACAGGAGAGCAGGAAATGTCAGTGATAAACCAGTCTTTTTGTAGAAACTCACTGAAAAACACCAGGAAACCGGATGACCACTACAGTAAATTGTATCGTCCAGAGTTCAAGCAGGAACACAAGGGGATTTTTAAATCAAAAGGGCAGGCGGTTCAGAATATCCAAAACACCACAATGCCCAACTTGCAAGCAAAGGGAAAGTTTCTCATGCTTCGTGCTTCAGCTGCTAAAGCCTTGGGCAGGTTTCCTCTCTGCAGCAGAAGAAGGGGAGATATTTACTGTGAGGGTGGTGAGAGCCTGGCCCAGGTTGCCCAGAGAAGCTGTGGCTGCCCCATCCCTGGAGGGGTTCAAGGCCAGGTTGGAGGGGGCTTGGAGCAACCTGGGCTGGTGGGAGGTGTCCCTGCCCAGGGCAGGGGGTGGCACTGGATGGGCTTTAAGGTCCTTTTCAACCCAAACCATCCTGTGATTCTATGATTCCCAGAGCTATGGTAACCCTGACACATAAAGAAGCGCCTCAAGTGCCTGCCATGTCCTGGACTACATGTCCTGAAGACAGCACAGACTCAGTCCCAGGGTTCAGTTTCAATCCCTTATTACTAGGACCTGAGAGCCCCTCAAGAGCTACTCCACTTCCTCAAATGATGATTTTTAAACCCTCATTATTTTTTTCAACACAAGACTTCCTCTTCCAAAGCCTATGGCACGACATGCACTTCAGTTACTGAGGGGCAGACTGTCTCAGCAGAGGGACATGAGGTGGCTCAAGGAGCAGCTTGTCCCCACCACCCATGCAACCCAAACCATCCTGTGATTCTATGATTCCCAGAGCTATGGTAACCCTGACACATAAAGAAGCACCTCAAGTGCCTGCCATGTCCTGGACTGCATGTCCTGAAGACAGCACAGACTCAGTCCCAGGGTTCAGTTTCAATCCCTTATTACTAGGACCTGAGAGCCCCTCAAGAGCTACTCCACTTCCTCAAATGATGATTTTTAAACCCTCATTATTTTTTTCAACACAAGACTTCCTCTTCCAAAGCCTATGGCACGACATGCACTTCAGTTACTGAGGGGCAGACTGTCTCAGCAGAGGGACATGAGGTGGCTCAAGGAGCAGCTTGTCCCCACCACCCATGCCATGCAGCCCTGCCTCTGCTGAAGACAAGGTCCAAGGGACAGTGCCCTCCAACGCACTGCTTGAACCTCCTAACCTGGGGTTGCCATATGGTGGCACAGACTCAGTGACCTCAGCTCCACGACACCTTTGCAACACATCCTTATAACCTATTGTACGTGTTTTTTTCTATTGTGCAAACGTCTGCTCGGTCTGGATTATTCTGCTTCCTGCAGGTAATCCAAGGCTGACTGCAATAACTACCGAGTTTCCTCATGTTCCCAGCGAGCCAGGATCCACATTACTCAAATCCTCCTCTCACCCTCCACCACACTTGTGCTGCCACAGTGACAGCAGCTCAAGCTTTTCCCTTGCCACTATTATTTTCTGTTCAGCACCTCCATTCCCTCTCAACGCAAGCGATAACACCAGCCCAGGGCAGCAGCTCCATCTGTGCTGGCACCGCAACAACCAGCAATTTGCACAGAACTTCCAGTGAAGACAAACTTCTCAGAGCTTCATTAGCCCCAAATTGAAACGCTTCCAGCTGTGATCGAGATGGATCCAACCACGTACGGATTCATGCCCAGGCGTTTCGGTGGAAACACCCACTGGTAGATGCTGCAGGAAGTAAGTAGCACAGATGAATCATTTGTTAAGTCAACAGTGAACCATTGCCCCAGTTTTATTCCATGGGTGACGAGCTTCCTCTGGTACTTGATTCTTAGAGCCATAAAAAGTAAACACCTTGGGGTTACTAAGAGTCCCATGACACACTTGAAACTAGTTAGATGTTTCCATCAGAGCCAAACATTAACCGGAGTAACAGTCTACCTAAATTTTCCTTGTGTGGGAAATGTGTTGAGTTTGTATTTTCTTAAGAATCCGCGTGAAATTATTGAGTACACAGTAACACTTAGAATATCCTTTATTCTATTTGGCAGAGGACCCCTGTTTCTCAATCAAATAAAGCCCAGGAAATCCATGGCAGTGATCTACAGGAACAAGGTGGATATTTGAATCTCTCCGGAGTGAAGAGAGAAGAGGTACAAGGCAAGCACCTCAGCAATTCAATAAAACTAGGTACCTTAATTGCTTAAAGCTCCTTATAAGTTTTATGGTTGAATAAAGCAGAGGCAGGATACTTTCTATGTAGAGATTAATTAAACCAGTGTCCACCAGTAGCCAAGTTGCATCGTCTCCAGAATAAGTTTCCTCCTCTGCACTCTGAAACCAGTTAGATGCTCAGGAGTGTCTCTGAGAAGGAATCTCCCATGTGTGACTTCAGGGTGCACACTTGTATGTACACTTACACCCAGAACAACAAACTCGGCACCAAGAGTGAAAACACCACAGGCACACAGATAGTTGTCCAAGCCCTAAGCTTTATGGCCCAGGGGCATTTAAAGGGCTTGTGCTGCAGCAGCTTCGATACAGCTGATTTCTGAACTTTGGAAATAAAAGCACATCCAGGCGTGACTCCCTGCTCACACCCTGTATGTTTTCTGTCTCAACAGCTCCCTGTGCAAACCTGCGCCAGCTCTGACTCACCAAAGCCCACAAAAGCCTTCAGCCCATTTAAATCAATCTGCCTGGTTCACATCCCATCAGCAGGAAAAAGCATTTCCACCCTCAACACACCTCAGGACACGGGGGAGCAGAGGTGGTTTTCCAGAACAGCTCACCCAGGGCACAGCACAGCCTCACGGGGACCCAGGGCAAACTCCTCAGGTGAGTCCTGTTTCACTCACCTGAACTATCCTGTGCAGAAGACAATATGGGTGGTTTTTTTTCCGAGTGTTTCCTCAAAGAGTGCAATATAAAGTCACTTTGTTTCACTCACCTGAACTATCCTGTGCAGAAGACAATAAGGGTGGTTTTTTCTCCATGTTTCCTCAAAGAGTGCAATATAAAGTCACTTTGTCTCACTCTGATTCACACCTTATCACCATGAGCAGTGCCTCCACCCTCAGCTCTGTCTGGGCCACTCCATTTTCAAATTCAGCCCCAGCACACACCAAAAGTCAGCGAAATACAAGCAAGTCACTGTCCTCCCACAAAGCATAGCCAGGCTTTCTGCAAGTGCCAGTGACTAAGTGCCCCATCATGTGAGCTATGGCCTAACAGCAGCCCCAGGGGTTGTTCCCTACTGCTCTGGGGGCAGAGACACTACTCCTGAGCAAGACGAGGGGTGATGGCTTCAAACTGGAAAGAGGGGACATTGGGATGAGATCTCAGAAAGAAATTCTTTGCTGTCAGGGTAGTGAGGCCCTTGCCCAGGTTGCCCAGAGAAGCTGTGGGTGCCCCAAAAGCAGAACATGACCCTTCATGAGAATGTAAAACTGATCACTGCTCCCAGCAGCTGACTCTGGGTACTGGGGGTTTCCCGAAGCAGGGCTGCTCACAGCTGTGTTAGCTGCAGCTGGTGTCAAGGGAAAAATCTAAGCTAGAGGGGAACAAAAAGCCCTTCCATTACAGAAGTGAGCCTTTAAGAGCTTGCTTTTACTCTGGCAGGACAATTTTGCTACAAAAGTGTGTCCAGAAACCAAATGACAAGCTTCTAGCTGTGCAGCAGTAATAGTGTTTTTTTCCTTTATAGCACACACTCCTCTGACAGAGCAACAGCTCTCATTGTGGATAGAGGAAACTTGGGTCTACATTTCACAGGATCCTGCTGGACGTGAAGCTGTGACAGAGCAGGGAATAGTCTGGGGCTGAGTGCTGCTTTTCTAACTCAGGACTGGTAAAAATTATCTTTCTGTATTTCACAAGCTCTTTACAGCCTCATCATTGTTCTTGCCAAGGAAAATTTATCAGGAGCTGAAGTAGAAGCTGTTATTTTTTTGTGACAGAGCTGATAATCTGCTTCTTCCCCTTTGCTTATAGAATAGTCCGTGAGGCCTTTCATCTTTATTGTGGTTTCTGTGCGTGAGATCCAGAGAAGGGTGTTTGGAAACACCCAGCCCTGAGCAGCACGGGAAGGGTCAGATGAGTCCCAGCTGTTCTCAAGCACCCCAGCAAATGGGGAAAAACCCTCTTCCCATCCAGGGGCCAAGAGGAAGTGCTGGGTTCCCAATTCTGCCTATTTCTCAAGCGTCCGCAGGCCGATGTCCCCGCGAGTGTCATGGGCTCCCCTGGAGAGGGCAGCCGAGCATTGCTGAACTGAGCACCGAGCTGGGACACTCCTGAGCCACCAGTAATGGCAGAGGGGACACGTATGACGTAGAGATTTAGGGAGCAGAAGGTGTAATTGCTGTAGAAAAGCATCACAAACCCATTGAATGGGGGGAACTGGGATCCACGCAGGAGGGAAGGTTGAGTTCTTGCTCGGGAGAAGACAGGTTGTGGCTGCTCTGTAGGATGTCAGAGCAGGACCTGCTGTGGGGCAGGCCAAGGAGCACAGCCTTTCCTTTGCAGCCAGCACAGCATGTGCTCCTCACTACACGTTGTATGGTCTTCACCCAACCATAATGTGGTCGATTCCTTTGGGATTTGGGGCAAACTTGCCTCTAGCCACTGACACGAAGCCTCAAGTAACAGGAGATACCCTCCCACCACAGTGCTCTGGTGTCCCCTGCCAGATGTCCCTGCTTTCCAGCAGCAAGAGCACAACCTGCAAATAAGCAGCTCCAGACTGCTGCTGCCCAGCAGAGGGGAAGAGGAGAGCAGAGAGTGGGTAGAGCAGAGACCTCAACCTCTGCAGCCTGGGTCCAGCACGACCACAGGGGTATGATGATGTAACTTCAGACCTTAAGCCATTTCCTTTCCCCTTCCACTTGCAAAAAGAAAATCAACTTGCTCTTCTGGCATTAGCAGAGTGTGTTTTTGCACAGAGAAGTGACGTGCCCACTTTCTGGGGCACAGACTGGTGCAGTTCTTCCTGTTGATGGTGTCAGGCAAGCACACAGATGGCAGATTTCTGAGCTTGCCCTTAGACCTGCCCACAGGTAGGTATATCCAGGTTTTTCAATGCCTGCCTTCTAGCTCTTTTCCTTTCCCCTCCTCTTCCACTTCCCAAGAGAAATCAGGAAAAGACCCTGAAGGTCTCTTGCCTTGAACGCTGCAGGAAAACGGAGGAAATGGAGGGACTGAGGACATTATTTCAGGGAGTCGGAGGGTTAGGCTGGTTGTGAGATGTGGCACTAGCAGCCAGGAGCAGAACACAAGACCCAGAGGGGAATGGGGAAGGAGAAAAAACCCGACACGCGTTCGCTGAAAGAATGCGAAAGAGAGCAAGAAACCAGGGGAAGGATTTGCACCAATGGATTTCCAGCCCAGGGGAATAAACCAGAATGGTACGAGAAACCCAGATGAGAGCAGGAGCGATGTGAAAGGAGAGGGAAGCGGGCGCCGTCTGCAGCTGCACAAACTGCCCTGAGAGCTGGAGAGATGGGAAGCCCCCGGGCACCCCCAGCCCGCACCGCCAGCCAGAGGAGGTGAGTGGTTTGCATTTCCTGACCCGTGGGGACATCCTACAGCCAAAGATCCTTTTTCTCACAGTAAAACATGTCGTCCCTTTGAGCCCACGGTGCTGACACGCAGGCAGGCAGACCAGGGAGACTCTGCTGTGCACGGGGAGGATCTCACGGGGAGATTCCTGGTGTTATTCAGGATAAACTGCGATGCCATGTATAACACAAGGTGGGAAAATTGTTTTTTAGGATGGATGCTTTCTTAACGAGAACACGGAAGGTAAGTGTTTAAATGACAGACTGGGGACTAACTCTTTACAGCTGGTTTTACAAAATAATAACGTTGGATATGTCAGAGCTGTTTCCAAATGTCTCGCAAGGATGAGTACGATGCTGAGCTCTCAGGCTGAGTGTTCTGCAGGAGTTAGTGTCTATTATCATTCCAGTTGTGGTGGGTTTGGTGAGTGAGAGAAGCTCTGTTGTGCCATGCTTTGTACCCAAACGGGCATTGGCAGTGCTGCTGTGTGCCTACACAACCCTGTGCTTCGAATGCTGTCACCCCGAGCAGTCACACAGGGACAGAATTGGACTCTGAATAGAAATAAAGCATAAAATCTTCAGTGTGGCATTTGTGCCAGTTATTACATGAGGGAGGTAACTCCTCTCAGCATTAAATAATGTAGTTGGAGGGATAAACCAGGCTGAGCAGCTATTTCCAAAATACTGGCAAAACTTCTCTTGCAACTAAAACAAGAAATCATGTACAAACTGAAATATTTGTAAAGTGAAAGAGATTTTGCTTCGTCAGCAAGTGAAATTTCCAAGAAGTAATGACAATTTTTGCATAAATCACTTGTTCGTACTAGGTGATCACTTAAGACATTTTATTTTATTGTAAAGATCAAATCTCTCAGAAATTCTGGTGACAAAATATTCAAGACCAGGGCTTTCAGAGTGCTGCAGGCACATCGCACTGGCTGATTGCAGCCAGAAAATGTAATTTTATGTTATCTAAGCAGCTGATATGTTAACTTATTAATCACAAGGATTCAGAGACGTCTCTGTAAGTGAAGAAACCATCCCAAGTGTTATCAGAAAGGGTGCTGCTGTGTTCAAGGCAGTGTATGTCTGACAGCTGAAATCAATCGCAGCGGTGCACTGAGATGGAAAAGGAGTTTTTCACTTGTAGATTTAATATCCGCCAAAGCCAGCGGAGTTATTAGGCTGGAGTGAGTGGGCTCACAAGCAGATCTAATGGGGGAGAAAGGTTTCTCTGCTGCTCCTGGGCACACTTTGCAGTCGGTGAGGCTGTATCAGAAATATATTACATTCCCAAATGTCTTATCTGCATTTTGTTCTGCTGGGCTCCTCGTTCATTCAGTGCGTTGCTTCCATTTGCTGCCTCCTGCGGCTCTGCTATTGTTACTGGCGCTGTCTGGGGGTTTCTCCATTGCAAGAGATGGGGTTTCCATTGTTTTATTTTGCAGAATTATTTCCCACCCTGGGAGATCCTGCTGGCAGGACGCACTTTGCTGTGCTGGGAGGAGAGTTAATCCTGTGCAGAGGGTTCCTGCTCAGCTCCTGCAGCTCCCAGGGACCCTGTCCCTCTGTGCCACAGCCTCCTGGCTCCGAAGAAGGGCGAGAAGCCCCTTTACTCTTTCTTGCTGAGCTGAAACATCAGGCAGGCAGGGACCCTGGGCTGGCTGTGGTGGTGATGCACAGCTGTGCCCGGGGCTGTAATTATTTACTCTTTCTTGCTGAGCTGAAACATCAGCCTGGCAGGCAGGGACCCTGGGCTGGTTGTGGTGGCGATGCACAGCTGTGCCCGGGGCTGTAATTCCCAGGGAGGTGGAGATCCTGCCCCTTGGAAGGGGGTTTCCACCCTGGAAGTGGGACTTGCCCCATGGAGGATGCTGCGGATGAGCTCTCCCTCGGGATCCAGATAAGGGCTGGCTTGTTTCCCAGGAGCTGAGTCGTGCAGGAGGCAGTGGGCATGAACAAACAAATGGTTGAATCCAGGAGCCCATCTGACAAGAGAAAAATGTCCCCTGGGCAGGAAAAGGCAACCTTATGTCTAAAAAAACCAAAGGTACAGGCAGTGCAAGGAAAGGGACTTTTGGCACAGTGTTTTCACTTTTTGGAGCCTCTGCAGAAGAGATCTTGTGCTGGAGCAAAGCCCTGTGCTTTCCCTCACGGACACGGGAGCTGGAAGGAGGATTTGGAGGAGTTCAGTCAGAACTGCAGAGATTCATCCTTGTCCTTCAGCCTGAGACACAACAGATGTGGGAAGAGAAGGTCTGGACTGGCTGATTGCTTCAAGCCCAGCACAGTATTTTGAACCTAAGGGTTTATCTGAATTGTATCAGCTTAATGGAGAGAGCTGTACCAGAACAGTCAGCACAGGAGTTACTTTGCCATTATAACCAAATTCTCTCCCCAGGCAACATAACATGAGGGATAGCATTTTGCTGCCCTCAGTCTCTTGCCTAATGTTCAGCACAGTTTCCAAGCTCCTAAATATGTTTGTTGGACATTATACAACTGCAGATACTGAGAATTTAAGACAGTCCTGGGAATGCTGGCCGCAATTAGTACATGTCAAGGTGATGCTGGAGTCTGCTTAATTAAGAGATGTCTTGGTTTGGCTGCTAGGGTTTTGGCTGGGGAGTTTTGGGTACTCAAGGAGGCAGCTGCTGCCCTGGTGGCCCCTGGTGAGCCCTGAGATATGCCAAAGTCCATCTGTCCACTAAATCCATCTCTCTCTGGAGAGGGAGATGTTGTCAGATTTAATAACAGCAGTTAGTAATTACTGCTGCTGCCCTTGTAGCGTTCCTGCGAAGAGCTGCAGGAAACAAGAGTGCTGAGATGTGAGTGCAACATCTCCGGTCCTGCGTGATTACCCCATGCCAGAGCCTGATGTAAGAGGAGAGAGGTTTGCTGCAACACTGAGCCACAGTTCAGCCCAAAGTCCAGGACTTCTCCAGCCTGATATGCCAAGAAATACAAATCAGGGATGAATTGCTCTGGCTGTAATATGCACCGAACGCCCTGCAACCGCCGCTGTTGAAGCCCAGATGGGCAGGCAGGGGCAAAGTTTGGGCCTCGGGCTCTTCTCCATCACCTCCCGGGCAGCATCTCAAGTGCTCGGGGGTATTTTGCGACTACTGCAAAACACAGAAACAGTGATGGGTGCCAGGGGATTGGGGGAATTGGTGGGGAAGGACGTGATGAAGACAGGTATTAAGTACGTGTCACTGCTAAGATGTGTGGACAGAGGTTTCTACTGTGTTGGTCACTGCTGGTTATTGTCACCTCTAAAGACAGCCGTTGCATTTGCTGAATTTCAAAAAAACAGACAGAGAAACCACAGAGGTTTCTACTGTGTTGGTCACTGCTGGCTATTGTCAACTCTAAAGAGAGCCAGTGCCTTTGCTGAATTTCAAAAAACAGACAGAGAAACCGCAGATGGTTGTCTACAGGTGCCTGGAGCCCAGCAGTGCAGCAGCCTGGTCCCAGCCAGGCGTTCGCTCTGCTCCCCGGGTAGCTGTAGCCATCACACATCCTGTCCCCTGTGGCTTGCGTGTTTTGGGCATTTCCTCTTTCGAAAGATCACTGAGGGCAGGGAGAGACCGTGGCGTGTTTGTTCTGGGGGAAAGGGAACACTGTCCACTGCATTTGCTGAATTTCAAAAAAACAGACAGAGAAACCACAGATGGTTGTCTACAGGTGCCTGGAGCCCAGCAGTGCAGCAGCCCGGCCCCAGCCAGGCGTTAACTCTGCTCCTTGGGTAGCTGTAGCCATCACACATCCTGTCCCCTGTGGCTTGCGTGTTTTGGGCATTTCCTCTTTCGAAAGATCACTGAGGGCAGGGAGAGACCGTGGCGTGTTTGTTCTGGGGGAAAGGGAACACTGTCCACCCACTGCTTTCCTCCAGCAGCAGGAGTCACGGCCCCATTGCCTGGATGGGGGATCCTGGATACTCGAAGCCAGGCAGATGCTTTTAGGAAGGGGGTTCCTGTCCCCCTGCACCCTTTGTAGCAGGGCAGTATGACCTGTTGGTGTGTGGCACTCGGGACACAGCATCTCTCTGCTAATAAGGGAGCTTTAGTGTATCCCACACCCACCTCTTCACTCGGGACACAGCATCTCTCTGCTAATAAGGCAGCTTTAGTGTATCCCACACCCACTCTTTGTCTGCTCTCTATAACCCAGTCCAGGATGACCTTGTTCCCCCTGTTACATGAAGAAACACAAAGCAGCTGAGCTCTCAGTGAAAGAGTATTTCGTCTAAAGGATGAACATAATCAAGAGCAAGAATGGGAGAAAAATAACATCCGAAGGACAAGCTCATCAGTGTAATGAAGATGAAGGGATTTAAATGCATTAAATGGCAGAAGTGTAGAGAAAAACACAACTTTGCTGCCACAGAGTGCACCGAGCAGCTCAAAGGCATTTCCCTCCATCACAGCTCTGCTGAAGCTAAAAGTATTGATAGAATTAACCTAATCCTGGGGATGGACAGGGGTTCTCAGTTTCAGGTGCTCTAACTCCTGCATGTCCCCATTGTTATGTCCAATTTACACTCTAATATCAATGTTAAACAATAACTTTTAATCACTCTGACCATGGGACAGACTAAGTCATGACACAGGGATTATGGGGGGAGAAACACGACTTTAATGAGGCCGAGCTTTATAAGACTGCAACAGACAAGCTTAAATTTAAAACCAGTCTTGTAATTTGTTGTGTTCGAACAGCTTTGGTGAAGAATAAATCCTTCAAAGTACACTTTGTCTTCCCAGATGAGTCGTACGGAGTCCCTGGCAGCGCAATATCTCTCATCCTTCTCCATCGTACAATTCTCAGCGTTGCTGCTTCCCTCTTGTGGTAAGAAAACAGCCCGAGAGACAGAGGTGGTACGGACTACGGACACGGTACGGACTACGGACACGGTACGGACCTGGTACCCATGGGCTGCGATAGACGGGTCTCGGCCAAATCACCAGTGGGACAAAGCCTGGATCTCTGCTGGGAAAGGGTGGAATTGGCTCCAGCATTTGGGCTGTGGACCTGAAAGTAGGTCTCCCTGGGCTACTTTCCTTTTGCTTGCTTCCATCTAAAGGGAGGGATGTGTCTGAGTGGGTTGAATTTATTGCTCATTGTGCTCCTGTAAATCCCCTTCCTCTTGGTCTTTTTCAGAGCATCCAAAGAAGTGCAGAAGGAAGCAAAACCACTCTCTGCAAGCTCCTGGCTCTAGTTAATTACAATGGATATTTGTAAAACACATGAAAATGCCTCCAAGTGCAGTGCGAGCACCATGGAGTGCTTCATGGTCCTCAGCACACAAGCACAGAAGATAAGCATTGCCACACTGTGCGGCCTCTTTGGGACACTGTGCGTTTTTGAGAACTCTTTGGTGTTGTACTTGATCTTCTCCTCCCCTGGGACCAGGAGAAAGCCTTCCTACATCTTTATCAGCAGCCTGGCCTTGGCTGACATTCTGGCCAGCATCATCTTCGTCTGCAGTTTTGTTAACTTCCACGTCTTTAATGAAACTGATTTCTCTAAAGAAATGTACCTGCTGCAGCTGGGAGGGGTGAACACGGCCTTCTCTGCCTCCCTGAGCAGCTTGCTGCTGATGGCCCTGGACCGCTACATCTCCATCAGCCGGCCCTCCGAGTACAAGCTCCTCATGACAGGGAAGAGAGCGTGGGTAGCCCTGGGGGTGCTCTGGGTGACATGTGCAATCATTGCTTCCCTGCCCCTCCTGGGCTGGAACTGCTGCACGCTTAATTCCACCTGCTCCGAGCTCTTCCCCTTTGTGGATGAGAACTATATGTCGAGCTGGATCTTCTTCATCATAGTCCTGCTGGGGTGTATCATCTACGCCTACACGCATGTGCTATGGAAGGCTCACCAGCACGCGGCCTACATGGAGAAGCACCAAGTGCAGGTGGGGAAGCAAAACACCAGGATGAGGATGGACGTCATGCTGGCCAAGACCCTTGTCATGGTGCTGACTGTCCTCGTGCTGTGCTGGTCCCCGGTCCTCGTTCTCATGATCTACAGCATCTTTGCTAAGCTGAGCAATTACCTGCGCAAGGTGTTTGCCTTCTGCAGCACCCTCTGCCTGCTCAATTCCATGGTGAACCCCATTATTTATGCCCTGCGGAGCAAGGAGCTATATTCCTCCCTGAGGATGGTCTTTTCTCGCTTCAGAAGGCAGCTGAAGGCCTCTGAGGAAAGCCCAGAAGCAGAGAGCACCCACAAATCCTCCATGATAGAGACTGTCTGCGAGGACATGCGCGTAACATAGGGAGGCAGCTGTGGGAAGTCCATGCTCAGGCTGGCAGAAGGAGTCTGGATCCCTTCTATTCTTTTCTCTTTTTGTGGAGGTCCTGAGAGACGGGGGCTCAGATGCCTGTCATGGAGCCAGCTCCCACGGATGTTATTCTTAGGCGCTGGGATGTAAAGTGCACAGACTTACACAGGCAGCTGGTCCCCAAGCTGCAGAGAAACCAGTACCACATCAATGTGCCAGCCACGAGGCAGCAGATATTGCTGTGCCCCAGAACAGCAGATCCGAACATTTTATGACAATTCCTCCTGCTTGGCCTCCTTCCTGGCCTATCCTCCTAACCCATTTTTCTTATATTCAGTGGTGTCTTCCTTATATTCCCTTAAAATGTAGCCAACCTCACATAAAACACTCCGCAGACCTTCAGTTTCTCTAGAAATCCCCAGGCATCACATAACTCCCTCTAAACCCCTTAAGCGAGCGCGGGCAGAGTTATACAAGCATTGTCAGCAAAGTGCTAACAGCACATTGCTACATGGCAGAGGTACATCTATTTATACCAGGCTTGAATACCGTCCCGGTTACGTATTAGCAGCATGGTGACAAAAGGTCTTCAGGTCCTGGAAAGGTGGCAGAGAACAACATCGAGTCGTGACGGGGTCCTGACGATGGTTAATGCCTCGCTGCATCGCGTGGGAGCAGGAGGGATCTCGATCCTTGCTGGGAAAGCTGTAGGTGATTTCTCTGGACTCGCTTGCAGATGGTCCCAGCTAATCCTGTCTTGCAGCATTTAGGGTCATATTGATTTTAGCGTCTCATTCTTTATGGAAAACCAAAATGCTCTCACTGTGGCTTACGGACTATGCCATAGTTGAGGGTTACGAGGCGGACGGGACACTGCAGGTGGCATGTTTCTTGCAGCAAATTTAAGGGAAGCTAACCTGTGCCACACAGGTATTTGTTGGATGTTATGTGATTAAACATTAAAGACATTTTCTAGCCTTTTCTTTCACGGAATCACGGAATTGTTGGAGTTGGAAGGGACCTTCTAGAGATCATCCAGTCCAACTCCCCTGCCAAAGCAGGGTTGCCCAGAGCACATCACTCAGGAGCATCCAGGCAGCGCTTGAAGATCTCCAGATTTGGGACTCCCCACCCTCCCTGGGCCGCCTGTTCCAGGGCTCTGCCACCCTCACCCCAAAGAAGTTCTTCCTCAGATTGAGTGGAACTTCCCATGTTCCAACTTGTGCCCGTTGCCCCTCGTCCTGTCACTGGGAACCCCTGAAAAGAGTCTGGCTCCATCCTCATTAACCTCCAGGGCACAAACTCCTCCAGACGACGGGTTTAAGCCCAAGCTGGGGCAGGTACTCTGAGCGTGAGGAACCCCACAGGTTTTTTTGCAGATTACTCAAACCAGGTACCTTGAGCTGCAAAACACACAGGGAGAGCAAAGTGGGATGGGGCCCTTTGCCAGTGTCCTGGAGCTCCCGAAACACCTCTGACGGGGATGAGCCTGGCCTGGGACACGGCCGCGAGGCTCTTGGACTCTGCCCTGTTTCCCCAGAGGATACACTTAGCCCTCACGTGCGGGTTTTGGAGCCAGGCCCCAGGCCTGCCCCGGCTGCCCAGTCGGAGACAGGTCTCATGCAGGCCCTGTGGCCGTGAGGCCAACCCGATGGGCTCTGCCCTGGCCCCTCACGGGATGGACACAGCGGCTCAAACCGCACCAAGGGGCACACAGGCAGCTAGAGCCGGGCTGGGATAGGAAGAGGAAAGGGGCGGCCATCCCCGCAGCCAGGCGGAGCGCAGCCTCGAACCCGCGGCCCCTGGGGCAGCGATGGCGGCACCCCGCCGTTCCCTCGGTAGCCGTGGCGGCGGCCGCGCTGACGTCACGCGGCAGCATGGCGGCCGTGGGGCTGCTGTGGGTGGCGGCGGCGCTGGGGCCGGTGCTGGCCGGGTCGCGCTACCGCCCGGACTGGGCCAGCCTGGACGCCAGGCCGCTGCCGGCTTGGTTCGACCAGGCCAAGGTGGGGGTGTTCGTGCACTGGGGGGTGTTCTCCGTCCCGGCCTGGGGCTCCGAGTGGTTCTGGTGGCACTGGCAGGGCCAGCACCGCCCCGACTACCAGCGCTTCGTGCAGCGCCGGTTCCCGCCCGGCACCACCTACGCCGACTTCGCGCCCCACTTCACCGCCCACGACTTCCAGCCCCGCGAGTGGGCCCGGCTCTTCCAACGGGCTGGGGCCAGGTCAGCACCCGGCACCGCCCGGGGATCCCTCAGGGGACGGAGGGTGGGTCTGGGGATCCCTGAGGGAGTGGAGGAGCCATTTTGGGGGATCTGTGAGGGGATGGGGTCCCTGGTCACTAAGTGGATGGAGGAGCCATGTTTGGGGGTCCCTGAGGGGATGGCGAGTCCGTGAGGGGGTGAGTGCCCTGTCTGGGAGTCCTTGAGCAGATGGGGGAGCCATTTTGGAGGATCTGTGAGGGGATGGGGGTCCCTGGTCACTAAGTGGATGGAGGAGCCATGTCTGGGGTCCTTGAGGGGATGGGGTGTGGGTTTGGGGGTCCCTGAGGGGATGGCAAGTCCCTGAGGGAATGAGAGCCATGCTTGGGGGGTCCCTGAGGGAATGGAGGAGCCATTTCTGGGGATCTGTGAAGGGATGGGGGTCTCTGGTCACTGAGTGGATGGGGGAGCCATGTCTGGGGGCCCCTGAGGAGATGGGGTGTGGGTCTGGGGTCCCTGAGGGAATGGCAAGTCCCTGAGGGGATGAGTGCCATGCCTGAGGGAATGGAGGAGCCATTTCTGGGGATCTGTGAAGGGATGGGGGTCTCTGGTCACTGAGTGGATGGGGGAGCCATGTCTGGGGGCCCCTGAGGAGATGGGGTGTGGGTCTGGGGTCCCTGAGGGAATGGCAAGTCCCTGAGGGGATGAGTGCCATGCCTGAGGGAATGGAGGAGCCATTTCTGGGGATCTGTGAGGAGATGAAGGGGTTCCTGGTCACTGAGCAGACGGGGAAGCCATGTCTTGGGATCCCTGAGGGGATGAAAAGGCCTGGAGAGGATGGGGGGATTGTGCCTGGGGTCCCCAGGAGGATGCAGGGGTCCCTGAGGGGGTGGAAGGCCCAAGTCTGGGGATCCCTGAGGGACTGGGGGTCCCTGAGCAGTGCTGGAGATCCCTGAGGAGTCGTGCCCAGGGTGCTGAGGAGATGATGGGTCTTGCTACTTCCCAAGTTTCGATTGTTCATTCTTTTCAATATGAAAATCCATTAAAAAACTCTATTATTCTTGTAGTTGCATCTAAATTTAAAGGTAAGAAAAGAGGGCCCCTCACAGCATGGTTATTCAGTCCCTTGCTCTCTTAGTGGCTGGGTTTGCCAGTGAGGCTGGGGAATATCTTAGGTAGTTCCTTTGTCATCCTGATCAAGTATTTTTTTTCCCCTCAGGTATGTGGTACTGACCACGAAGCACCATGAAGGCTTCACCAACTGGGGGTCTCCTGTGTCCTGGAACTGGAATTCTCTGGACACGGGGCCCCACCGAGATCTTGTAGGAGAGTTGGGACAAGCCCTCAGGGAGAGGTATGGCACTGCCAAACCATGCTCTTCCCAGTGACTGTGTGCATTGAATTCTCTTGACCATGCTTGATGAACAGCAGAAAACGAAGAGATTAATATGAAACAGCAGGGCTTGCAAAGTCATGATATCTTCTGTGAAATAATAGGGCCTGGAGCATCTCTCTTATGAGGAGAGGCCAAGGGACTTGGGTCTTTTTAGTCTGGAGAAGGGAAGGCTGAGGGGGGATCTGATCAACGCCTATAAATACATAAAGGGTGGGTGTCAGGAGGATGGGGCTGGTCTTTTCTCAGTGGTGCCCAGGGACAGGACAAGAGGAAATGGGCACAAACTTGAACATAGGAAGTTCCACCTAAGCATGAGGAGGAACTTCTTCACTGTGAGGGTGTCAGAGTCCTGGAAGAGGCTGCCCAGAGAGGTGGTGGGGTCTCCTTCTCTGGAGACATTCCAAACCCTCCTGGACACGTTCCTGTGGGAACTGCTTTGATCGTGGGGTTGGACTAGATGATTTCCAGAGGTCCCTTCCAACCCCGTATCATTCTGTGATTCTGTGATCTAATCTGCCACTGGTTCTTAGTCCCTGCTGCCTAACTCTTTCCTCTGTGTTTTTTGTCCTTCAGCAACATACGCTACGGACTGTATCACTCTCTCTTAGAGTGGTTTAATCCGCTCTATCTGGCTGACAAAGAAAGTGGCTTCAAGACCCAGAACTTCGTTTTAAAGAAGACCATGCCAGAACTTTATGATCTTGTCTTAACGTAAGAGCTGGAACCAGTTAGGAATCGGGAGCCTTTCCTGATTTCAGTACTGCAGATAAGATACAAAGTGTATGCAGAGAAGAGAAGTGACAAATGCTAATTATTGGTTATTAGAAAAGGGGTTCATGTTTGCCCCGTGGACAGTCTAACTTGTAGAATAAGGTAGAGACAAATTTTTCATGCAGAGTGGCTTTGAAAGTGGAGTGAGCTGCCTAGTGTGTAGTAGAGTAGAAGAGCAATTTCACTGTGAATTTGCATCCTTGCCTTGCTTGTCCTTGTGGACAAAAACACAAGGCTTGGACACATGTTGCTCAGAATGGCTGTTGTATCAGGTCAAGAATATCCCTTGTAATTGCCTTTGAGAGGTAATCTTCCATTTTTTTGGAAGAATTGCACCCTCTCTTGAGCCATGCTTAACACATCATTCTTTGCTGCTGCAAGAACCTCACTTAAAGCTTTGTCTGAAGCAGAAAGTGATAGTGTAAACTTCCTGGTAATGTCAGGCAATAGGAAGAGGAAGTGAAGCTAGAACTCCAGACGCAAGAAACGCAGCGCTTCCTTTGTGATAGGAGAAAATGAGCCATTTTGAAATAACATTCATCTCTCTGTCAGATATAAACCAGATTTGATTTGGTCGGATGGAGACTGGGAAGCTCCGGAGTCATACTGGAATTCTACCTCTTTCCTTGCCTGGCTTTATAACGATAGTCCCGTGAAGGTATCGCTTTCAGCTGCCCCTCATGGCCATTGGAGTTTTATGGGTATGGAAATTGTGGCAGCAGTGAGATATGAATGTGAGCAAATGAGAAACCTGCTTGACAGATGCCAGATGTGCTTTATTCTTTCACAAAAAATAAGCCTGCACTGTCTTCTTACAAGAAGACTAGTGGCCTCACAGCACATGTGAGAGGCTCAGAGGCCAGGAACCTTGTTGCCTCAACCAGAGTGAATAGAGAGAGGTTCTCCCAGAGAGGGATTCAGCCTTCTCTGGATGATCCTTTCTCTCTTTCCTTTGATTACACCGGGGGTTTAGGTGCTTATCTCCTAACTTTGATGCCTTTGCTAACTTAAGAGGGATGGATATAAGCTGAAAAGTCCAGGACAAAGCATTCTCCCTACTGAGCTGAGTTCCTTCTTTCAGGACACTGTTGTCGTTAACGATCGTTGGTGCAAAAACTGCTCTTGCCAACATGGAGGCTACTACAATTGTGCTGACAAATACAAACCAGGGATCCTGCCAACTCACAAGTGGGAGATGTGCTCCTCCATCGACAAGCTTTCCTGGGGCTATCGAAGCAACATGAAAATTTCTGAGCTAATGGATGAAGCAAGTATCATTGAGGTAAGAAATCTGAAATCAAAATAAGATGGGGGGAGAGTTACAGAGAATTAGAGGTTTCCTTCATCCTCCAACTTGCAGAAAGAGTCGTCCTGTGTTTCATACAACTGGGCTGGAGTTAAAGGAGCATTTGATGAGGACAAAGCCCTCCTCGGGTTTCTTTGTTGTCGGAAGTGAAGATAATGCAATTTGTTACCTTGGTTTATCTGTCACAGGAGCTAGTGCAGACTGTGAGCTTTGGAGGCAACTACCTTCTCAATGTGGGACCTACAAAAGAGGGGGTGATTGTTCCCATCTTCCAAGAAAGACTTCTTGCCCTCGGGAG